TTCGTTTCTGAGATAGTGATCGTTGAAGTTCAAAAAATTGGAAGTATTTATCTTGTTATTTATAAAATATATAGTTTTTTTCAGGTTTCATATTGAGCAACTCAAAATACAACTTTTCGGTCTCTACTTTTATTTCGAGCTAGCGATTGAATTTTACTCAGCAATGAGTTCAAGGTCGTTTTGGAAGGCAACTGTGTTAAAATCTGCAACGCCCTGTAGCTCAGAAATGAAAAAAAAAACAGACATTATGTTCAGAGGAACTTTTTTCTGGGAACGACCAAAGGAATCACCCTCCGAAGATCCATACCGTAGTTAGAAAACACCCTGTATATATAGATATCAGAGATGCTTTGCAATTTCTTCAACAAAGTATATAGGGTCACAAAGAGAGAGGATATACAGTTTGACTTCGAAGATATTTCTTGTACAATAGTTTTTATTTCCATGTGATCGTTTCTCCCTGTTTTTAGATGCTTAAAACTGTGAATTGAAATCATTAAATCCACTGATTCGAAAAAAATTCACAGGGTGATTATTATCCTCCACAAAAAATTTTAATTATTAAATCCAGGCCTGAAAATAAAATAATATGTTGATTTCCATTGAGCTGAAGCATTGAAAATGTGAGTCTCTCATTCGTAAAATCTATGAGCTGCGAAGTATAAATTTCTAAATATAAATACATTCTTCGCCAAATTTTCGTTTTTTCATAAAATTCATAGTTTTTTCAAACTGCAATGAAAGTGTGAGGAAAATTTTTAATATTTTATTCTTAATGTTTGTTTGTGACCCTTGAAAATTTCCTCTCACAGTTTACAAAAACGATATACAGGATGAACTTTTTGCTATAAACTAAGCTATCAAAATTTTCCAAGAACGGTCCTGGATTTTCCCGATTCTGAATAAGTCAGTCGATTAGAGAGTAGTAGTTCAATATTTCCATAAAGATGTTTTTGACAAATCTCATAGTTCCCCTTTTATATTGGAAAAGAAGTGTAGAAGACAGTTTCTGACATTAGGTATTCCCCTCATCAGGGGTCTCTATATATTCATGGTCGTAGAAGTACCTCTATGTACAGTTCCTCATGATTCACCCTGTATTGTCGAGTGGGGTATTTTCGGGAAGAGCTGTTCGAAAGGTCTTTTCAATGGTGAGAAAATATTTTGTCTATTGTTGAAAATAGAAGGGCTATGAGGAATATAGTACACTCATGGTTTCAATAATCTTTCTATTGTTGACATTTTCTTATAAGTACCTATCTGATCAACTTCCGATTTGGCATGAAAATTGGGAAAATTGCTATGGAATTATTCTCACCTCTGCTCTTCCATTGCTGGAACTTGTGGTAAATCAAGCAGGAGCACATGAAACAAACACAACTCAACACCATCAACGTCAAAACGATGCCCACCCAAACGTCCGCCAAAAATTGCTCGTACTCGGGATCGGGAGCGGCCACGGTCACTTTCCCGCCTGAAGATTGCCGGACGAATATGTTCGAAACGTTGAACTCGATGCTGGCCAGGCTGTCTTCCAGCCTGGTCGGTATTTTGATATCGTAGTCTTCGTCCAACGTCAGCATTTCGCAAAGCCGGCTTGACAAGCGTAATATATCAATCGACGGCTTGACTTTTGAGGTTGTGTCGATTCTGGTGGGAACGCCAATGAAGAACGAGCACTTGAGTACTAGTGGATTCTAGTAGGCTGAGTTGGTGGTAAAGACCGATGGTTGACTGTTTCTCCCACCTGTGGCGTTTTGCTTATGTTCGGATTATAGACGGTTTGTAGTACGCGAAACGATTATTTTAATCATCCTATTATCGGATATATGAATCATTTTTTTTACAACTAGTTTTGCGGTTTTTCGCTAGAGGATATAACGATCCGTCTGCTTCTATAGAATGTCGTTATAGAACAAATTTGTAATATTTTTATTTGCATGCGTTATTCCCGTCGTGTTTTAAACGGTTGTTTCATTTCTTACTGAGAATTCCTACAGCCCAGACAGCACAGAGTATTCTATGAATATTCTCACTACGTTCACAACATACATCCTTCAAAATATTCCGAAGAATGTTTATAGAATATGATGAGGATGTTCTGAACATTGATTTACGAGAATATTCATAGAACATCATCCAAATATTTTAGGGGGGTTCCATAATCCATTTAATTCTATAAATGTTATACAAGAATGATCATAGAATGTTTTGTTCGAATATTATAGGCATTTTCCCCACGTATATGTTCATATTTCTAGAATATGCTATTTATTTACTTTTAGAGAAACATTTTTGTTTCCTATAAACATATTTTACCTATGTCCTCTAATTTGTTTCGTTTTTGAGATACAGGGAGCAAAATTTTTCAGAAAGAAATCGAATTTTCATCGACTCGGAATTTTGAAGTTTTCTTTCTATTTTAGGTGTCCCTTCCAGGGCTTCGCATATATTCTCCTATATTGATCTCCGAAATATTTTCCATGCGCTTTGGAACACGTATATATACTGAAAATATTCCTAGATCATTCTGAGGATGTTCTATATATTCATAGAATGTTCTGAAAAATATTATGAAAACGTTCTTAAAACGTGAATTTTCGTCCCATTTGCATGCAGAACGTTCAGTGCACCTCGTGAGGACATTCTGAGAATATTCGAAATCTTCCACTGGAATATTGTAAGAACGTTCTCAGAATCACTTTGGGATGTCTAGGGAGGTAATCCTGCAGGTAAAAATAAAAAAAATCCTATAAACTTGGGGCGAAAAATGCTTCATAAGGAAGCTATACAGTCCCTGAAGATGGTTTTCATTTAATATCTCCGAAACCAGTTGAAGCAAAATGATTAAATTTTTCACATACTCAGAAGATGTTATTCTAAATAGGACGGGGTGAAATTCATTAAAAAATTGTACCCGTAAGAAGGGTTACTTGGGGGAGGTAGAGTACAAACTACCCCAATTTTTTTGTGCATGTTTATTTTCAAGCTTTTTTGCAAAATTATATAATTTCAGGGTAACTCCACTAGCATATGCTCCGTCTTCGAGTAAATCCATCTTCAGGGACTCCCTTTGAAGCATGACCAAAGTTTTTGATCGGAGAATCTGCTGTTGAAGTAGGGCAGGCTAATTTCGGGAGTATGATTTGAAAATTGGCAACGTTATGCATAAAATTTGGGTGTAACAATATTCTCAAGTCGATTCCACTCGAAAATGATACGGAACAAGAGCCGCCATCAATGTCAAAACGATGCCCACCCAAACGTCCGCCAAAAATTGCTTGTACTCGGAATCGGGGCCGGCCACACTCCTTTTCCGCCTGAAGATTGCCGGACGAATATGTTCGAAACGTTGAACTCGATGCTGGCCTTCCATAAAATGCCGTTGTTGAACAAAGTAATTCGAATGCCTTCTATTTCAGTAACGTGTTTTTACAATTTTTGATTGCACTTAAAACCTTATACTTTTTTTTCGAAAAATAGAAAGAATGAAGTAGCAGAGGGATAGATCATTGGAAAATATCAAGGATAGTCTATATCCAGGGTGTCCCAGTTCAACGTTTGTATACTCCGGCGGAGGTAATCCTGAAGATAAAAAAGGGAAAAAATGTTCCTATACATGTGCTTCATAAAGGGCGCTACAGCAACAGAAGTTAGATACTTATACAGGGTGGTAGGGGGGTCATTTCCAATCAAACTAACCGTGTATGTTTCATTTCTTAAAAAAAATTAATTAGAATACACATTTGTGATTTTTTCTTTTACAAATTTTATGTGCATATGGTTATGCCATTCCCCAGAAATAATTTTTATGGCCTATGTCTTACTTCCTATCACTTAAGACAAATGTTTTCCTTATGTTTTGTTGAATGCAATATTTAAATCAGTTGATTTTTTTCAATGCCTCTGGCAGATTTAAAAACTACCCCACAAAGATAACCAACTATAAGAAAAAGTTGCCCATTCAATATCCAGATTCCGAAATGATATAAACTATGGGGTCATTCAAAACAATCTTTTTGTAATCAATTTTTCTCAAATAGGTCGTGTGAATATTTCTTCAGATTTTAATGTTGCGAGCGGATTACCTATACTGATTTTGTCAATATCCAGGCGACTCAACTCAATTCTGGCATAGAGATATGTAATTCCTGTATCCACGCTTTTATGGAATACTATATATAACTATTTTTGACTTGAACTTTAGGCGCGAGGGTACAAAAAAGAGCCAAATTTTAGAATGCTCATCAAGAAGGCCTCTTGAGATTGATGTAGACAAAAAATCTGGACCACCCTGTGTAGAAAACATTTTATAAGGTGTCGTACCATTTCTACTCTTGATCCAGAAACGCACTTCTTACGAAAAAAAAATACATAATATGTCTTAATATAAGATATTAATTTGCTACAATAACACATCAATACATAACTTCAACAATACATAATTAACTATATGGAATATTATGCTTGAAATCAGTGAAGGTAACAATCTTATCCCTACTTGATGGGACCAGAATATTTTAAATCTCTTGACCAAAAATACGGCTGCTGGGCATTTCAAACATCCATTGAATGAATAAGATTCACAATGCCAATAAATGACGTCAGAATACGCGTCTTGAGAATAAAAAAGTTGATAGCTTTACCATGCTGATTGTTTCATTTTGAATAATTCATCTTAAAAAAATCATGATCTGAATATCTGAATGAATCTTCCGTCTATCTTCAAGAGTTTTTGATAAAAATTATCTATTCATTTAAATCACATTCAATCAATGTTGAAAAATGCTTGGTCTCATGTGTATTTTCATGCAGCACATTATGGATGATTTTGGTTTACAATATAAGCATACTTTTTACATTTGGCATGATAATACATAATTTTTGTACATACTTCAAAACCATATTGATGTGGAAAACATCATAGAATAATAGATAATCTCATTGTTTTCAAATTGACTAGTGATTTTTTGTATGAGTAAGCTTTGATAAGAGATCTTAAATACCGTAGATTTTATTCATCCAAAAATATGTATCTTATATTCAGTCATAGGATTTATACATTTAATTGTTACTTTCCAATATTTGATAACATATCCCATCCAGAGATCCGTCTGCAGAGTTGTAACATCCTGTATGATGATCATTAAATATCGTAGTAATGGTCGCAGAAATTAAATTCATATTATTATATTATATTGAGTACTTTTAAGCTATTGAAGATGACAAAGAATATTAGGATGGGAATTAACTGTTTGGTATTCAATTTTTCTGATTTACCTACTGATTTTTTTGAGAACATATTATTTGTCGTTATTGTTAATTATGAGAAAAACCATTTAGGTACTACTGTCTTTTTGAAATATTGTCATACCGGTATATAATTTCTACTTCTGTAAACAACATCATTTTGTTTGAGATGATATGTCAAGTTAAAATGTTAAAATACCACCTACTACTCTATCAAAAACAAATGTTTCCAAAATGTATGTAAAATGACCACAATAACTGGAATGCTATAATTTTCCTAAATCAACGTGGATTTCTACGAATCAAACATTACCACTATTTATTATTTACTAATCTGCTTCTCCTATAGCTCAACTCCTACTAAAAAATATTGAGCAAACATAACCAAATACCTACAGTCTCAAGAGTTGATGAATTTCCTTATCTGAAAACTGCTATGGAAAAATCCTAATGTACAGAAAGATGTAAGTACACAGGATTGCTGCACATCATAAAACTAAATAGTATAAATTATATCACAATACAATAATTACATAAAAATGATATGAATTGATAAAAAATATATAGAGGCTATAGAAACAATAAAGAACTAGGGTATCAAATATTTGAATGAATCATAACAATGATCATTTAAAATAATTGATGACTCATCAGTTTGTTCACTGAATCACAAATAAATTTTCATCAGTCAGATCGGTGGAAAATGGTCGTTAAATGAAAACTCACGATTTTTCATTGGTTCTGGTATGTTCCTTGATGTTAATTCAAATAGAATTTTGCACTATCCCAATGTTGACTAGGCAAGAAATCTACTACAGAACATTGCATGAACGATTCTTGTGTCCAAGGTTTTCAATACTAAATGACATAATGGCGAATGAACCCGAAAATATTCATTCATTTTCACATCCTATGGAGTTATCTTTTTTTTTATCTGATATTTCGCAGACGCTTTATGCATTTTTTTGATGATTTATTGAATCCTCGAATGTAGATTTTTGTTATTTACAAGTTCATAACCGTTGACAATGTTGACATGATCTGGAAAATGTCTAATTTGAACTAACATCGCAGAAAAACTAACTTCCGGCATGGCTATACAGTGACTATACATCAGTATAAATACATAACCTATAAAACTAACGAGTCAAGGACATGAAGAGACGAGAAAAATTGGGAGATTGGGGGAGGCAGAATGATTTTTGAAGGTAGAAGAAGACGTGTATCAGACTTTGCTGCTGTCCAGAATCGGAGCCCCAGAAAACGCGATCGGCTGAGCGTTTGAGACTAGGTTGGAACGCATGCTGGCATTGGGCAAAGGGGCCTCTAACGAAGCCGTCTGTCGCATCTCTTCTGCCGACGCTCTAGAAATATATTCGAATCACACATTTTTTTCCACCTATGAGAATAGTGCGGAAAATGGCAGATTATAGGTCTTTGCTGTTTCTGCATGAAATTTATATTTCTACACTATACACTTTTTGACGTGGGTCAGTGTAGTGGAGTGGAGTGTGGTGAATATATCCTGTTCATTGCTTGTTGTGTAGTCAAATGTAGTGGGATTTCGCATATTTTAAATGCATGGTAAAAACTCTTTGAACTTAGAAAAAAATGTACAGTGCCAACGGAATAATTTAGAGTTTCTTGAATTGAGATGGTGAATCAATTTCAAGTTCTTCTGGCGAGGATCAATTAATTGAATATGTGGTAATTTTGCACTTATCATGCGATGGGGTTTTTTCCGATTTTTTTTGTACTTACGTATTTTTGTCTGAAAAACACGAATTTGATAATGTAAATGTGAACAAATTACTATTTATCGAGATATTCCAAGAAAAAGTTCGAAATTTTGCCTCATAACATACAGCATAATCCATCTTAGGATTAGAAACGTTAACCAGAATGATTGAAGGATATACAAAACAGAGAATGTTGCTTATGCTCCAACAAACTCCTAATCCAACAAATATCTGCACTACACTCATCATACCTCCTCCAGAATAAGTGTTACACTCTGTTTTGGAGGTAAATTATCTCCAATTATTGTGTTACAATACTTTGACAACGAACACAGTGTACACCATATAACAGAGAAAAGTATCAGTGCTACACAATCTATCAACACTGCTTTGCTAATTCTTCAAAAATGTTTGTCCAAACAACACAACATTATCATCAAAAAAAGCATATATTCAGTGCATAATCATCCGAAAAATCATATTTAGTGCATTCTCAAGGTCCATTATGTACAAACAAAATTTGAAATCAATTTATTTCATTAGTATTCCATAAAAAAATGTGTAAAGAGTTGAAATTGGTTATATTGACTCTCCATGTAGGTTTCATAATGTAGTTATCACAGGAAGATGAATATAAAACACAAGCTTCATGATGACAAGACAGTTTTTGTGATATGAAACAAAATCATCGGGAGAATACACTGAAATGCTAGCATAATAGAAAAATGAAAATTTGGTATTTATAACTAGAAATATTAGGAAAATCACTGAGTAAAGGTTACACCTACCAACTATCATGCTTTGTTCAAATATCTACATGAAACAGTGCTATATAGTAAGGGGGTGCAAGCAAAAGGAAGAAGCAAATGAAATTATATGACCAAATGCACCACCACCAAGAAGGTATACCCAATGCATATATTTTTTTATGACTTTTTCAAACAGGGATATCACCTTTTTATTGTGAAAAATTGAAATAATCTATTCACGATAGAAAATAAGCGTACGCCACCTGTCGGAGTTCTTGAAAGCTGTCAAGGCGGCATGTTTACTTTGTTTTCATTGGTTCACATTTGTTATTTGTTTGTGCTTAATATTAGTCATATCATCAAAATAAACCGCTCAGAAGTGTCCAAGTTGCTGCCGTCAGGTGGAGCGACGTGATATTTTCTATCATGAATACTGAAAGAGCATAATGTATCAATTGTTACTCTACTCAGTTTTTCAAATGATATGGCATGACTCAGTGTAAGTTCTTTGACATTATATTTATTAGCCAGCTTGGCATTATCTTATGAGAGGATTTATCATCATCAGATTGACATTTTTGGAACTTATTTTGTTGTTTCAAATGCAGATATTGAGTAGGTACTCAAATATCTTACATTAGTGTCAGGTTCATAGTATAGTATTGATTATAAGGGCAAGAATAACTTCTTGGGCCCTGTTTTTCACTCCATTCAATAGTAATAATTGCTGCCAACAAGTAATTCAAAATGTCTGACCCTTTCCAGGTGAAATATGGTAAATTGGACCATCAAAGATTCCAACGGTAAAAATTAAGAGTGATCTCTATGAATACCTTTTCTTAAGTGGACCATGCATACAGCCATTTGCATTGCAGGACACAACCAAGCAAAACCAAGCAATAAAAAATGTTAATTACACGTTGGTTAGACATTTAAGTGGGGCGCCACACATCTGGGTCTTCCATAAGGGTGGCATGATGATCTGAGGACTGATTCATCCCTATGGGAGATGTGGCCATATGAGGGGAAGCCACTGCTGCCATGTCATCTCTAGACCCTCTGTGTCAGCAAAAACGGTGAAAAGTTGTGCAAAATTCTCTCAAATCTTATTTCTGGACCTGAGTTTTAAAAAGGCCAATCTCCACTTTCATCGATTTTGAGATATCTCCAGCACTAAAATTCCCGAGTTCAATTCTATCGATACAAAGAAGGCCAATCTCCTGTTGCTAAGGGTACATGATATACCATTTCAAGTGTAGGGCTTATATCCAAAACCATTGAGAACTAAAATGGCCAATGTCCACCTTCCATGGAGATTGGCCCTCCTCATGCAATAATCAGCTACAACCGCAACAAAATAATGAATGGAGATTGGCCCCTTGATTGAACCTAGCCATGGATTCAAATAAAATTCAAATTTTGAATTTTTACAGCGATTCTTGTTCGGGCCAAAATAGAAATATTTACATGGCCATAATGTTTTGTTACATTTGAAGGAGCTTCCACCAACCATTACAATCGCTGAGATAAACCATAAGTTCATGGAACCAGGCCACACTCAAATGGAGGTTGATACCATTCACGCCGCTATTGAACGGGCCAAGAAAAAAACAACAATGGATATAGAAGTTCCACATGGTTGGATTAATTTTATTAAAACATCTGTGTACAGAAAAAAACCTATGAGCGCGATTGAGATGTCTCAAAATGAGTTTATTAATTTTGGAACTTTCCTCAAGTCCTCGCTAGTCCATAGAAAAAAGGATGATAAAGGAAACGCAATTCCATGACTTAAAATTAAGTGGATGAAATTTCGAAAAGATCAAGAACTTCAATTTTATTATAAAACAGACTTCAGTGATGGGGAATTTCAAAAAGTTGATTCGAGAAGAGGATCGCTAAGAACTCGACAAAACCACACTGATTTTGAATTGAAACCTCTGCACCATCAACCATTACCGATAGCTGATTTGAAATATGATAATTTACTAGAGCTTTTGGCTTATGTCAGTGATTACAACAATCCATTTTTTCAAAACCTCCAACGTTCGTCTACTATGGATCCTGAAGATTGCACTGCTCCAGAAGATGAAATTTAAAGTTTTGTTAATTGTAAAAATGCCTGAAATGTTCCGAAACTTTTTAAATCAATGTAGGGTTATAATAATATGAAATTAGGTTCCGTTTATTTTTTCTACTGAATTTTATATTTGGTTCAAATGAATTTAAGTTCACCTATTAAATGAAGACAATTTTGTGTTTCTTTCAGTTATTCTTTTACCTCACTTCATGAAGAAAACTAGAAAAAAGTGGGTACTATTTCCCATAACAATACTTAGTAAAAGGGCCAATCTCCATCTAAATCATAAAATATCTTGTTTTTCAAATCTATAACATAATTTTCACAAAATATACACTATTTTGAAGTGTTTTACCGATATTTACTACTCGAAAATAATTATTCACACACTTAAAATTATAGTCATATTGCTTTCAAATCTTATGCAATTAATATCTCAGAACACTGAAAATGGAGATTGGCCTTTTTAAGACTCAGGTCCAGATTTATCTTTGCCTACCTCTCAAAACTAATGTAGGTAATTTTGTATATGGAAAAAGGGGTATTTGTTTGTTTGATCATCAATGACTTTACCACTCAAAATAACAGACCAATTTGTTGGGAATTAATGATAATTTTTCGAATTGTATGCAGTAATATTCCCAAAAAATTTGAATATTATAAATTCATAAAGAGTTATTAGATGTTCCAAATCATTTGTCAGTCAATTTATTAGTACAGTATTAGTGATGGTCTAGGAATCATTAGTCTACTAAAATTGTTACCCACTCTTGATTTTTACAGAACCCAGATAAAAGCAGATAACATTGTTCAATTGATTGTTAACACAAAGCTATTTCTATTCTAAATGTATTGTGATACCAATATTTGCCCCATAGTATGATCATTTATAAGCAGATGTAATCAAAACATTACAAATCAGGAAATTATACTGAATAAACAGTTTTGACACTACAGTAAGTAATCAATTATGAAAACATTACAAATTAGGAAATTATACTGAATAAACAGTTTTGACACTACAGTAAGTAATCAATTATGAAAATGGAATGAATTTGAATGAATTAAAAATTTATTCTTTGAATTTATCCAGGCTGTTGATCATACCTACACCATAAAACTCATTCAAGCAAAGTGAAAAAATATCAAATTATGTTGAATACACAGCTATTAATTGTTTTAATTAGTCTCATAATTAGAACTTCCCCTTTAATGAAAGCAATAATGAGAATAAGCATATCAAAAATAGTTTATTTAGATTTTGATCAAAACCCAGTAGAATCCACATTTCTGTGGACTTGTTCAGGTAACTGTAAGGTAAAAGCAATACTTACTTCCTTCCTAATGCCATCATTCCATAGATGACACCAGTAGTGAAAATAAGGCCACTACCAAATAGTGTGCTGAGTCCAAAAGACATAACTATAGGTGGAAAGGCTAACCTGAAATATTTTGAAATGATTAAGTAAATCCCCTCAAATATGTAGGGATTATGCATCAAGGTTCATTTGTTCCTTTCATGTTTTATTTACCTAAGTGATATCATTGATCCCATGATTTATTTGACTTTATGTGGAGAAAAAAACTTGGGACAACTTACGCCACATATGCCACTGCTCTGTTCCAATATGGTCTGGATTCAAGAATATCTGCTAATCTCTGAACATGTTCCACAAACATACAGCAACAAGGGGCTTCACAGCATATTAGAATAAATCCAGCCACAATTTGCCATAAGCCAGCTAAAATTCCCCATGCGCTGATTGTTACACAAACCCAGACTCCCAAGAACATTGCAACTGAAAAAAAAACCTAAATAGCTACTGTTTTTGTCAATGTATGCAGTTTTATCAAGAAGGTTTGAATGGAATGTATCATCATAATTGTTCCTAAATTGTACATTCATCGTGATACTATTTTTATTGATAATAATTTAAATTATCTTACTGAATCCTCCTACTGTGCCCACCCCTCTTCCTGCTAATTTCATCCACCATGGTACATCATCTTTGGGCACAGGATCTTGGCCTGGCCTGGACATAAGAGACGTTATTTTGTCTTGGAATGACTGAAACGGAAAAAAGCATATTTTTTCTGAAAGAAACTGTGCGAAATGAATAAATTATTCTTCGTTTTCTTACCATTTTTTGCCACCGAAAGTCAACAACAAAAATTTATCACAGCAGATGTGAAGATGTCAAGTGACGGTCGATTGTCGCCCTGAAAGAAAACAGAGTTGCCACGTCCTCAAGTAGACGATGTCAGAATTCAGATGGACCTTACTTCATCATGCAAGAATGTCTATGGGCAATGTGAATGTTTTGAAAATTGGAGTGTAGAACAAGGGGCCAGAGGGACGTGTGACGACTAGTTTGCCTAAAATAAATGGCATGTTGGCACGACACATGACAACGATAGACGCCACGAAATCAACCTATAAAAAGTCTTGGTTTATTTTTTATTTATTTCAATTCCAATAATTAAAGATGAATGATGACCTAGAACAAGCTCTACTCTTAGCCGCTGCAGATGCCGATTCTAGAAACTTCGAGGACCAAAATTTGGATGAAGTTGATTCTGGAACTGTCGAATGCAAGGAAGCAGAATTTTACAAAAATATTACCGACACTTCTGATGTAGGTATTGAAAGAAATACTATTGATGAAGAATGTCAAGATGCAAACGTTGGGAGTTCCAACAATGAACTTTTTGAAGCAACAAAAAGGAAGCATGTTGAAGTTGATGAAGGAGCTGATATTGTGAATGAGTCTTTGAAGGGTTATGCCAATGTAGTTGCTACTCACTACAACCAACTTGAAGAGAAGGGTTTAGATGAACGGTCTAAGTCACGTATTGTTTACCTGAGAAACTTTCACAATTGGATCAAAAGTATGCTCATAAATGAGTATTTAACAAAAATAAAAGATGGTAAAAAACACAATGCTCCAGTTCGTGTCCATGATATGTGTTGTGGCAAGGGAGGAGATCTCCTGAAGTGGAAAAAAGGGAATATCTCCCACCTCATATGCAGTGATATTGCTTCAGTCTCACTTGATCAATGCAAAACAAGATATACAGACATGAAAGGTAGAGCATCCCGTGAAAGAGGGCCAGGAAATATTTACACCATAGAGTACATACCAGGAGACTGCTCTAGGACTAGACTACGTGAGAAATATTCTGACCCTTCCATGAAACTTGATCTAGTCAGCTGCCAGTTTGCATTTCATTATAGTTTTGAGAGTTTGCCCCAGGCTGAATGTATGTTGAGAAATGCCTCAGACTGCCTTCAACCAGGAGGATACTTTATTGGGACTATTCCTGATGCTTATGATCTCATTGCTCGTGCTAGAAGATGTGGAGGTAATTCTTATGGAAACAAAGTGTACAGAGTGTCTCTGGACTTTGACACAAACAAGCCTCCACTATTTGGTGCTAAATATAACTTCCATTTAGATGGTGTAGTAGACTGTCCTGAGTTTCTAGTACACTTTCCAACTTTAGTTAAGCTTGCAAAGAAGTTTGGCTTGAAACTTGTAAGACAGGAAAAGTTTTGTGATTTTTTTGAAAGGATGAAGATGGAAGGAAGGAATTTGATGAATAATATGAGAGGGCTGGAGGCTTATCCGCCTCCTGATGCTGTTACTCCAGTTGGAATTGATCCAAATGATTATGTGCATGCTAAGGAGTACATTAAAGCTTCTGGAGATAACAATGGGAGGATTGGAACTCTGTCAAAGTCTGAATGGGAAGCATCATGTGAGTACACACACTTTCAGCCTCCCAATGATTTGTCTACATTTCTATTTTCAACCTATTTGTGTACTTTTTTGGGGTCTTAAATGTTTTCTACAGAACAAATTTATTAACTATTCAACTTTTTTCAGCTTTATACATGGCTTTTGTTTTTGAGAAAGTGAAGAACACATGGAATGCAGATGGGGCACCAATTTATGATATTTAAAAGTAATTATCAACAATATTATTTTAAAACTCTATTTATGGAATGGTGGATTGTATGTAATTGAGGAACAAATATTTTTACAAATATATCAATAGTTGCTAATTAATTCAATAGATGATTCACATCACAAAAAATACAATAAAATGTTTGATGGATCTGTCTTATTTACTGCATTTAACTTAAGATATTGATTGGCTTCATGCACTTGATTTTTGTGACTGTTGGTAGAACAATATCTGTGGGTTTTGCTTGACCTGTGCTATATAATCCTCAGCCATACAACATGCCTGCTCAATCTCATAATTATGTGACACCAGTGCCACCCACTTGGCCTCTAACCCCTTGAGTTGATCCCCACCCTTGGTTTGCAAAGATTTTCTCTGCCAGTTCACCTCTTGTAACAACTGCCTGATTTCAGCTAACTTTTTTGAGGCAGTTTTTTCCAAACTGTTGAGAGTTTGTAAATATCTTTGCCATGCTGGACAGCAATATTCCAACATCAATTGCAAATTCAAAATTCTCACAGCTTGGTGCTCTAATTGTGCTTTTGAGTTGTCTACACATTCTAGCCATGCCCCTACTTCATTGAGTTTACCACTGGGCGGCGGTGGTAGTTCATAACGCTTCATAGACAGGGTCTCCATGGGTAAACGATTCTGAAGCCTCTCAAATTCATTGTGCATTATAGGGGTCTCAAACGAAGATATGTTGAGTGGCGGCAGGTGTTCTAAGTAATTTTTGGTAGGTCGGTACCTCCTACATTCTTCTTCGACCATAGCAAAAGCCTAGAATGCAGGTAATTTGATTGAACTGGAAAACTTGTGATAGGAAGAGTACATACCCCTTCTCGAACTCCAGGTTCATCGTATCCTTGATCGATGTATGGCAACGCATCTACTATCACTTCCCCAGCCATGAGAAATATGTAGATATATCGAGCTTAATAATTTCGATTGATTATTCAACTCTTGTTTGGTTTTTCAAGTTTTTTGTTTATTATGGTTATTTCCTTATTTCCTTCGTCTGCAGTTGTTTTTCGCCAGTAGCTCACATATATACTATAGGCTTTTAGGTGTTAGGTACATTCGAACATGTATTTACACCGTCTATTGGTTAAACGAGCAAAAGACGTTTGCCAGTTAGTCTAGAAACAGCTGAGGCCCATCAAATTAGAAGATTTTACCTACGTGAAGTTGGATACCAAAGCTGGCTGCCAGAATTTCCGAACTATCCCGACTGACCAGTGGCACGCGTTTCCCCCCTTTTGGGTATCGAATATCGAAATTCCTCACTAGCTTGTCTTCGATGATGCGATGTATGAAGTTTAGCTCGGCGATGTTGATAATAACAAGAACAAAATCAATCAGCGGGAATATATTATCATGTGCTTCTTTTGCCCTAGAGCACTTAAAAGAAACAATAATAAGCATTGTGAAAGCACTGCACAGTTGCTTTTGGCTTTTGGTTCTCGAATCATTCTCTATGGAATAATCATTCCTTACCAAATCATAGGTATGAAAAGACTAAAATTTCAAATACATTTTATTTTTGATACTTTGCAAAACTGCCCAGCTGCTTTCGAGTCAGGAAGATAGGTAATAATTGTGTTGATCATATTCTATCATCAGGTAATAATTCCTTGCCAAATCGTACGTATAGACTCCACACGAAAAAAACAGATTTTTAGAAAATATTTTTTTCGGTACTTTTGCAAAAAACTGCTCAATAGCTGCTTTCGGGTCAGGAAGATGAAGGTAATCATGTGAAAAATCAAGGTATCAGAAAATAATTCCTTGCGAAATCGTACGTATATGGTAGGCTCCACACGAAAAAAACAGAAAATTTTTAATATTATAGTTTTCGATACTTATGCAAAATACCTACTGCTTAGCTGTTTTTTCGGGTCAGATTATTTTCAAATTTTCTGTTTTTTCGCGTGGAGTCTACTATACGATTTCGCAAGGCATTATTTTCTGTTTTTTTGCAAAAGTATAAAAAAAATATTTTCAAAATTTCTGTTTTTTTCGTGTAAAGTACCGTCTACCATACGATTTCGCGAGGAATTATTTTCTGATAGCATGATTCTACATTTGATTACCCATCTTATTTCTGACTCGAAAGCAGCAGGGTAGTTTTTAGATTCTTTCATACCTATGATTTGGTAGGAAATGATTATTCAATAGAGAATGATTCGAGACCCAAAAGCAATTGTGCAGTGTTTTCAGATTTTTTTGGGATTTTCCCTCCTCGTTTCTATGAAATAAAAAAATCAATATGGGGCAAATCATTTCTGATTTGTCCATACGACGCTACACATATTGAAATAATATTCATATTTTTTATTTTATAGAAATGAGGAGAGGAAATCCCAAAAAAATCTGAAATAATGAATGATAATTATTATGGGTTAAATATTTCCGCTGACTGATTTTGTTCTAGAGCAAGTGAGGAATTTCGAATTTCGATACCCAAAAGGGGGGAAACGCGTGCCACTGGTCAATCGGGAAAGTTCGGAAATTCTTGCAGCCTACTTCACGTGGGTAATGTTTTTGTGATTTTTATTGAATTGTCAAAAAAATAAGATGGCTAATCTTAAGAACTGTAAAGTTGTCAGATGGTAGAGTTACAACGGTGAATTTTTCAAGAAGTCCAATATCTTGCGACCAATTTTTTTTTATATCACCGAAATAAAGGCGTAATTCTCTGAAGTGCCCAAAATTAGTGCTTTTCTGTGTCAGTGTAGACCGAGAACACACCTGAGGAATGCAAATTTTTTGTTTACAAACGGGAACAATGTTTCATAACGTGAAAAACTGTTAGCTAAAGTGACCGTGATTGTGCTGGTGCGCGCAAACGTTGCCCAGAAAGAAAATCTCCAAATTTATTTGAGAGAAAAATCACCCTTGCAGTCATAAATCTATTGACGTCTGGTGAAAGGCCATCGAACCTTCAGATATGGCCTTTAATGAGGTAGGTAATAATTTTATAATAACAAATTTCTAACTGCGTGTCATGTACTATGACACCACTTATTTCTATGTAAATGCTATTCCCACACCTTAGGAATCCAATAAGTAAATTTTTGGTGATTATTCTGTAGGTGGTTCTGACCCAAATTACAGTCAGCAACCAGCAATATTATTTGGAGAAAATGGTTTTATTGAGATTTTTCACACTCAATAACATCTAGTGCAGAACCCACTAGCAATAAATATGACAATGATTTATTTTGTTTATGTGTATATGGCACCCTAGAAGTGGTTCATATTCCACTATGAGCTGTAGGTCCAGCTTTGCCTATCCCCGCACAAGTTTTGACTTCTGGGGAGATGGTTTCCAACTTTGAAGGAGGAATATACAAATTTTACAAAAAAAAATGTTTTTTCAAGTAGGTATAACCCTAGGTAAAACCTTTGTATAACATGCATTTTATCAACTCAACTCACCACCTAATTTATAATGAATCCACCAGAAGTACACAATTTACAGTGATGTGATAGAAATGTTTACCAATCCAGCAAATCTCACAATCACAACCAAAACCAACATTGTTGTGCTCCAGAAAATAAGAAACCAGGGGAGATGAAAGTTTTTGTCTATTGATGATATCACTCTGAATTATTTTATTTTCTGTACATTTTCGTCACAACTTTAATTACCGTAGATAACATCATAATTTATTTTTGATAATCTAATCCTCTTGATAAACTTAACTCTGATAATGTTTAGTTCATAGGTACACCTTGTTAAGTGTAACAATAGTGAGGTTTACATATAATCCATGTATCTATCTCAGTATCTATTGATTGTTTATGAAAAGTGATGATACATTAGAGTAATATAGCAAGAAGCTAGTTCATCTTTTGAATGATTGTGGAGCTTGATAGGAGTGGTCCTAATATTTGTGCTCAGCAACAAAAACAATTATCTATGATCCTATATCCTTGATCCTATATACATTATTGAGAGCTAAGATTCAAGTAATATTTTGTGTTTTATTACTAAAATGTGGGTACATTCAAAAAACTCAAATTCTCACATTTTGAGAAACCAGTCTCCAAGCCCACAAGAATCTCAAAATATTAGAGGAAAGTTGTTTGCTAGACCTATTTCTTGGTCTTCCACTGACAGTTTCAGTCATTTTCAATACAGAAATCCAGCTACAAGATGGAACAGATTTTCTTCATATGTAAGTAGTATATGTACAAGGATTTATCCAAGAAAACTATGACAATAAATTAATATTTCAAAGCAATAATTATGACTACTTTCTCAACTTTTTTCTTGAATTTACTCTTACCTGTACCCTCACCTGTACCTCACATCAAAGATATGGTCACTTGGTTATCCCCTACTACTAATGTGATGAAATAAGTGACTTAAATCTTGGGCTGTAGGCTGTAGGTAATTGTGATTTTTTTTCAGAAGGTAGATCCTGAGCTGATCTTTACTAAACAAGAACGAATTGGCAAAGGATCTTTTGGGGAAGTGTTTAAAGGTATAGATAACCGCACCACTCAGGTTGTTGCCATCAAAATAATTGATTTGGAAGAAGCAGAAGATGAAATTGAAGATATCCAGCAAGAAATCATGGTACTCTCTCAATGTGACAGTCCATTTGTCACAAAGTATTATGGATCATACCTGAAAGTATGTAAAAATAATATCCTAATGAATATATTTATCTAATTTCTCATTTGAATCAATGCTTAGGGTACTAAACTATGGATTATCATGGAATATTTGGGTGGTGGATCAGCTTTGGACTTGATGAAAGCTGGTAACTTTGAGGAGATGCATATTGCTATCATTCTCAGAGAAGTGCTCAAGGGTCTGGACTATCTGCACAGTGAAAGAAAACTGCACAGAGACATCAAGGCAGCTAATGTCTTGCTGAGTGAAATGGGGGATGTCAAACTTGCTGATTTTGGTAAGATATTGCAATTTTCATGCAACATTAATTTAAGGAATTCCTTGAATATTTATTTTCTTCATGAACATTTTGGCCCTCTCAGTAATAAATGGGTACAGCCCTGAAACCACTATATATATTCTCTATCAACATATTGAATCCAAGAAATTTCTATATTTCAATTTTTGTTTGTAAGGCCCCCCTTAGGAAAAATGGGCAACTCTTTTTTTATTTCTGGGATATTTGTTAGAGAAATTTCAATTATTAATTAATTATTAATGATTAATTAATGGTCAATTAATTATTAATTAATTATTTGTTGATTATTAATTAATTTTTAATTTTTATTAATTATCAATTTCCTTTGAACCCCGGAAAATTTTCATAGAGGTTCTTACTCAAATGTCATGTAAAAAAAAACAAGAATAGCTGAACATATTATACATTTTGTCAGGTACATTGGTTAAAGTGTAGTATTAAAAATGGCCTAATTTTATCAGAGAATTCATCACTACTTATCATTATTATGTGTTTTTACAAAAGCTCTTGCAAAGATTACAAATGTTGCCAGATCAGTTCAAAGCTTAACCAAGCATTGAGTCTATTTACTCATAAGGTATTTTTTCAGTTTTTTATTGAATAATTTGCTGTTACATTCTTTGATTTCAACAGGCAGTTGATTATATATTTGAACACCTTTAAAGCAAATGGTTTTTTTATAGGCTTCCATAGATGCATTGGTTGACAATAACTTCATACATATTATCTGAACTTGAAATATTGAAGTTTTTTATAAAGATTAACTGTATAGGGCAGTGAGTATATATATATATATGGCTTCATTTTGGAGTGCCTTCACTTTAACCAATTTATTACAGGCTGGAAACCAAATCATTACCAGATATTAGTTCTACACTTTATGCCTTTTCAATCTAGAATGATCATTGAAAGAATTCAAATAATTTTTATTTTTCATCTGGAATTTGAAGAATTCTCAGGCTATGAATCTTAATAAGCATTATAAATAATGATTTATGGCTTTCCTAATAATTTGTAGGAAGAATCCTAGTTGATTTATTATTATTGGAAAATGTTTGTGGGTTATAGATTCCTTTGAGTGTATGAGCACCTAAGGAAATTCATTGGAATGTGGTCAATGTGGTCATCAATAAAAAACCCTGTGGTCCAAAGTAGTTGTAACTGGATATGCCTCCCTGAGATGTCTCTGTTTAACAATTAAACGCGAAAATGTTCTATGTTCAATGAATGGAGAAACAGGACAGAGATGTTTACTATCCAGCACTGTGTTTACAAACAATGACTTTTGTGGTATGCCAGAGTTGCCATATTCAGAAAGGTTGAAATATCCTGAGGCAAATGATTGAGGAATGACTATTTATCCGCCTATTAATAACTGTTTTCGCTCATTAGGAGGGGCCGGCCAGTTGACTAACACGACCAGCAAGCTCAACAGGTTCGTCGGCACACCCTTTCTTGATGGCGCCCGAGATCATTAATCACGGCGATCGAGCTTGCGAAGGGCGAGCCGCCCAACTCGGAGTGCTCTTTCCCCACCATTCGCGATTTCATGCATTCATCCGTGTTTGCCGTTCAAGATTTTGAGGGTATACTTTTTAATAATTGACGAATGAATCGCGGTGTCTATTGTTATTTCGTCCGAGATTTTTTCTTATTATCTGTTATCCAACAACGAATACGTCCTGTTCATGAACGTGACTCGGTGTCTATCCACATCCAGTGTGTGTATAGTTCGATGTCACGTTCTGAAATAAATAATGATGCGCATATTCGATGAGTGGTCAACAAATAAGTTTGTAAATATGGCTTGTAGTGGTTATGTTTGCACCAATCCCTTTATTGCCCCATCTTGTGCAGTGTGCGGCTCTTGCATTCGTTTAGCAGTCGAAAATGGCTGTTTTCACTGGCCGGTCAACTAACCAACACGATCAGCAAGCGTAACACGTTCGTCAGATCGCCATTTTGGCTGTCGCCAGAAGTCATCAAGCAATTGAAAAACGACTCGAAGGCCGATATCTGGAGATTGGGCGTCACACCGATCGAGGTAGCCAAAGGCGAGCCGCTCAACTCGGAAGTGCTCTTTCTCCACCATTCGCGATTTCATTCATTTAACCGTGTTTGGCTTTTAAAATTGTTGGGGTATACTTTTCAATAATTGATGAATAAATCACGATGTCTACTGTTTATTAGTTCTAGATGTTTTCTTATTACCTGTTATCCAAGAGACATGCGACGAATTCGCCCTACTCAACCAGTTCGGACTCGTGCTATTTTGCAGCCCAAGGACGTACAACCCCAACTGAAAATCTGACTCGTCGACGGGACACAAAATATCCAACAATCAATTCTCTGGCAATAATTCCGCAGAGTTACCTCCACCATTGGCGATTCCATTCGTCTATCCGTGTTCGTCGTTCAGGATTGTTGTCGTATTCTTTTTAATGATCTATGACGCGGTGTCTTTCTAATTGTTATTTAGTCTGAGCACTCACCCGCAAATGTACAAGGGTCTGCTATTATCCCCAGAATTAGCGATTTCATTCCTTCACCAGTGTTTGTCGTTTAGTATTATTGGCATATAGTTTTTAATGATGAATATATGAATCGCGGAGTCTATTGTTATTTAGTCTGAGACCCTTCTCCTCTCTCGCTCTATAGGAGTGGCCGGCCAGCTGACGAACACGACCAGCAAGCGCAACACGTTCGTCGGCACGCCTTTTTGGATGGCGCCCGAGGTGATCAAACAATCGGCCTATGATTCGAAGGCAGACATCTGGAGTTTGGGCATCACGGCGATCGAGCTGGCAAAGGGTGAGCCGCCCAACTCGGAGTTGCACCCAATGCGAGTGTTGTTTCTCATTCCGAAGAACAACCCACCACAGCTGACGGGTAGCTACAGCAAGCAGTTCAAGGATTTCGTGGAGGCGTGCCTGAACAAGGATCCGGAGAACGTGAGTGTTTTTATATGCGATCATGTTTTTCTGGTCTCTTAGGAAGAATTGAAAATTGAAAAAACCGAGCTTCTGTATAATTGATACATATGGCATTTCATAAGAAACTTTGGCCAGAGCGAAAATTGGCTTGATAGACATCGACCGAGGGTCTTCAGCCAGTAAGAATTTTTTATTTTTCAGGTTTGCAACATATAATAAATGTTACTGCAGAAGTAAAATGTTTCATTAGTTTTTGTTCACAGTTACCTTTCCTAATCTTCAAGTTAGTATGTAGGGCATCATTATACTGAATCATTTATCTAGATATAACCACAGTTCAGTTTCTATATATTGGTCAGACAAGCAGAACGTTCAATTAGCGTATTTACGAACATCATATCAGTTTAAAAAAAAATAATATAACATATGTTATCAATTTATCATTCAATATTAGAAGAAAATCATAGTTTTGATGACAATGTCGACATTTTACATGTGGAAAATAATGATAATTCACTAGTTTAGAATTCGTTTTCTCAATAGTTAATATTTGTGTCAATCGTTTTCAAATTTTACTGTAGATGTTGTGCATATACTTGGAAAAAATCTCAAATAGTATCAAGATGTGAGGGACTTATTTTCCAAGTCAAAATAAGACTTTTTTCTTTCATAAGTTATTATGATTTGTATGTCAAAATTCTAATATGATAGACGGGCTTCAGATATATTATCATATCATAATTAATTCTGACATTCAAGTTACAATTCGGAGTCGGGAGATCACAATCAGGATTTTGAAATGATGTTGAGACGCCTGGCATACAACTAAGAATGCTGGGTTGCTCAATTCTGACATACAAGTCTTAATTTCGAGGTATAAGTCATAATTATGACATGAAAGTTATAATATTATCAGTTGCATGTCAGAATCATGACAAAATGACAAACAAGTCGGAGTTCTAAAATACAAGAAAAATTCTTAGATACATAATTTCTAGTTCAATTCCGAGATTTAGATGAGATTTCTGACATACAAATCCCCATCATGAGATAAAAAAGCAGAATCCCTAATGAATGCACAAATCTGTGTTGTTTTAGTTCTTGAATAGAATCATCACTCAAATACCTTTCAATTTCATATTTTTTAAGAATTTTTCAGTCGATTTTTGGGTGAAAAAACATGGGTTCTTCCTATTATGTTTTATTCAACGACAGGACTTCAACATCTTTTTGATAACTTGATTATAATTGGTGACATGATAACCTTGCTTCATGAGTGGAAATGGAAGATTATCTGACCAATAACCAAGCCGCATAAAAACTTACGTCAACATTTATTTGAACTATTTGAAGTGTCGCCAAATGGCGGTCATAAAGATTCGTAACTCTTTATCAGTCCCCTCGCCCATTCTGATATAGAAGTCAGAATTACTTGTTACATAATTTTAAAATACAGTTATTGTTAATGGTTCAGTGTTATATTCAATTTAATGAATGAATAATGAATAAATATATGATTCATAAATACGTGTTAATTGATTGAGTTTTAATGTTTTTAGAGACCAACTGCCAAAGAATTATTAAAATACCAATTCATACGTAAGGCGAAGAAGAACTCCTATCTGATCGACCTGATAGACAGGTATAAAAAGTGGAGGTGTACCAGAAACGAGGAAAGCGAGACGGAATCCGAAAACTCAGACTCGTAAGTCCAGAATTACTGGAACCCAATTATTTTTAACCTTTTCGTGACGGGGCCCAAAAGAAATTCCGTAGTCGCCGGCGCGGGGTAGGAGTGCTACCCCACTAAAAAATCGTACTTATGAGCAAGAATTGAATGAATTCAAATGAATTTGGATTAATTTTGAAATAATAGTTTTTCTGAAAATTAAACATAACATAGATAACGAACATTGCACGATATATGATTGGTTTATACTAGTCACTGGATGGTATTATGTAGTTCAGAAATGACAACTGTTAGTGTTTTTGAATGTTTAGAAGTCACACACCTTGCATTGTGACAACAGCATCATGATGATCCAGGGTCGGTTATCACAACACAACCTCATTTTCTTATTTATTCACAAGTGATTGAAATAGTTTTTCACAATTATTTTGGCATAAGAATCGTGTTTTTCGGCTATTCATTATTTCGCGCATGCCATCACATTGCGCTGTTGTACAACGCACAAAAAATGCAACGGGAGACGAAGGAATCCGGTTGATACATTATGATTTAAAAGTAAGTACCTACTATAGTCACTCACACATAGTTTTCATTTTGAAATTTGGTAATTTCTCTGATTTCTCATAGGAATTTCTTCTGCAATAGGAGCTAATAGAAATACTCATGAACTTTCTAAAATTCTGCAAGAAGATTGGCTTCATGTAATCGAACGGGAAGACTGGTTTGTCATGCTGACGAAATATGATCGTGTGTGTTGTAGACATAATAATAATAATAATAATAATAATAATATAAGTTTATTCAAAAACGTTTACAAAATATACATTGGAATAAACCTATAGGTAATTTGAATAAACTGGGAAAAACCTTACAAAGTTAACCTTGTAGTAAGGATAAAAAATAAATAAATGTACATAGGTCAATAAATATTTAACAATATCAAATTATCACAAAGGAAAATTGTCTCTATACATGGCCCATCGCCTATACGATATCTCAACAAAAATGAGATCAGAATGAGAGGTACTTTTTGAATCTATAAGGACGGAAAGTGAAGGATGGAACATTTGGAATAAGCAATGAACATTTTGAATAAGTAGCTATAATGGCTATATTCCGAATTCAACTGGTCAGTACTGTAAGTTCATCCACTGACTCTGCTGAAAATCTGTGTTCCGAAATATAAAATCAAAAATTCACTACTGTAATTCGGGACACGTTTTCATGGTTTTCATCAGTAGTAGTTTCTCCTTTATCTGAACTAGATGTTTTGCCTCCTACTTGTTATAAATTTTGGAAATTCAATATTTAACATGGAAGAGAAATCGATTCTTGTATCCTCTATGGTTTCTACGATTGTTGACGATGGCGATTCAAGCTCGAGTGATGAAGAATACTTGGAAATTTTGTTGCCATAAATTTCTCATGATGCACCAGATTGAGAATTGAGATTCATGAAAATCGCAATATGCCTCAATAATGATGAATTTTAGGAGACATTCCAGGTTTATTTAGTTTATTTAGCCAATGCTGCTTCTTTCCTTACCTGCTCTACTACTTCATACTCCAGGTATTTTCTGATATTGAGAATCATTTCATTAACAACGGAAATGAATGTTACATTCCTTCCCCCTCTAAAATATGACAGTTCACTGAAGCCACACTACCTTTTGATACTCAGCAATTCCAGCAGAATGTTGAGTCGAAATATTTGGAATGAATAGTATGTCTGCTGACGAGCATCTGTCACTGCCAGGGAATTTTTTGATTTCGGAATGGCAAATCAGCAGATCCAGTACTTTCAGTTGAATTCGGAATATAGCCAATGTCGTATTATTTTTTCCCTACGTCGGCATCAACGCCTATTGGTCGATTTCGTTACCTATAGAGACAGAAGTTGGTCCCGCTTTGAGGACAGCTATGATTCATATATGAGTAGTAGTAGGGTCCCTTGATGTAAACTGACGTATTTGTCATCTCTACAAGGTACGGACAGATCTTCGTCTCCTCTCACTCTAAAGTGTTTGTGAAACAGTTATATAGTTCCATCTTCATTCATTTCTGGGGATAAACACTAGATTTTTGGCATTTGTGGTTTTTTAGGTTATATTGAGGTCACTGGCGTATCATACGTAATTTCCATATGGAATTCCTGATTCAACTATACCAAAATATAGATGAACAATCCTCTAGTTATGAGGGCGCCGTACATTATGCTATTTCTCGGCAAGTTCGAGGCAATGCAATTTTCTCGCAATTTTTCTCAATTTATTGCGAGTCGTCGTACATTGAGATATTTCTGTCATATTTTCTTGTTCATATTCACTATTTCCAGGTTTTTTGAGCCTTCAATGTACTTTTTGAGGTTATTTGGTGTTTCAGGCCACGTTATGGAGAAAATTAGTATTTTATCAAGATGCTACGATGAATATTACTAAAAATTTTACTGAACTTGCCTTGAAATTGCAGGAAAAATAGGACTGGTTCTATTACGAAACTTGCATGAAACTTGCCGTGAAATATCATAGACGCATGCGCATTGATCGATTCAAAATTGCATTGCATCGAACTTGCCGGCGCCCTTTAGAGTTTACTATACTCCAGCATAATTTTTGAGAGGTAGCTGAGGGAACATATGAATTTTACTGAAAGCTCAATATATTTCACCAAAAGAGACTGTTCTTAGGCTGTATACAAGGGTTGACTGAATTGACTGAATAAATTCTGATTTCAAACTGAGCAGTAGTTTATCTATGAGCTGAATGAGCTGAGCCTTATGATTGAGAAATGGTGAAAACCTCGATGTGAATATCTAAACTACTGTACTTATGTAATGTGTGCTAAATATATTTTCGGAAATACAACTCGAAGAATTTATGGAGTGACTAATATCAACTATGTATAAAACTTCGTCTAGGACGAAAAGTAGGCTGATAAAAAGTTATTCGTAAAATGTGCAGGGAAATAAAGAATAGAATATACTTCACCCCCATGTTATACATATGATTCTTCCGTCTTCCTTAAATAAAAAGTCATTTTCAAATAATTTATTGATGAAAGTAACAAACAAGTAGGTATACGCAGTATGACTTATAGGCACGTTATTTTCACTCTTGCATCCTACATATTTTCTATTTGTGATAGAGTAGTAATTATATAAACTAATGGATCCGTTATCTTGGATTTTTCAATTTTGACGGAACAATCATTATCTCTTACCCCGAAAACCGCAAGATAGCAATTTTGAATAGAATCGGATCTTCATCACAAAACTTGTTCGCCACATGATCTTCCTCAACAATTAAATACCCTGTACATGCCTATTATTAAAATTTCGAATGATTTTCTGTAGCGACCATGGATGTGACGTGACAGCAATGTCAGGGATGCCAGTAGACAAAACTAAAGTCTCTAGATCATTAAAAAAGAATACAGCTATGATCTGTCCGTACCCTGTTAAGATGACTTTAATGTCAATTTCCATCAAGGGACCCTAAGTAGTAGATATATGGTTGTAGACATGTTCAATCTATTAGCAGTATTAGCTTCTATTGTAGAAGTGACAGAAGGAAGTTTAAAAAGAAATGACAAAATTTCATAATGAAAACTATGTGAGATTATTATTTACTATTATTTACCTGAAGAATCATATTCCTTCGTCTCTCGCTGCATTTTTTGTGCAATAGCGCAAATAACACGATTCGTATGCCTAAATATTGTGAAAAACTATTTCAATATTTTACAGAAAAGTGAGGTTGTGTTTCAATATTTTACCTCCAGGGTCGGTCATCGTGCACGCGACCTATACCCCTCCCCGTCACGGAAATGTTAGGCTAGGTTAGGTTTATAGTCGATGTCATGTGATTTCAGGGAAGAACCGAAACAAGATAGCGACTTGGACGATCCCTGGATAATGACTGTGAAAGGCAACATGAAGCTGACGTTGGAAGAGCCACTATCACTGATCCATAATAAACCATCGAGCAAAGTACAAAATGGCTCCGGTCCCATGATTAGTAAATCGCCGCCGACTGATTCAAATCTCAACCATTACAGGCCGGAAAAATCCACACCAGTAAGCAACATTTTCGTGTCAGTTAGTGCTGTGAATTTCCCGGAAAATATTGATATTTTGAAACTTTTAGACATTCGATGTTTAATAGTAGAAATCGGTTCAGATGCGTCCATCCTGAAAAAAATATAATTGCGAGCATACTCAATTTTTTTACACAGGTACTTTGAAAGTCGGATTATCAATTTTTTTTCAGAAAGGTTTAAAAATTGAAAATACTTTTTCAATATTTTCCATTATGTTGATGCAGAATACAAATTGCAACCACAGGGGGTTATCATTGAAAATGTAGGTACTTATTTCGAAAATTGTTCCACAATTTCTGGAAGAAATTGAATGTCACCATTTCAGCTGGGTACCCAATTTTCTTCTAAGGGGTATCTAAAACTAAATTTGTTGAGAGAATGGAAATCGGGATTTCATAAGCGCACACTTTTAATTTCTTAGGAGATAAAAATAAATGAAAATCATGTGATAATGAATGAATTATGAATTCAGAGGCGTACCATTTTTTTCTGGGGAGGTTAAAATGAAATAATTCTGTGATGAATAATAATCACATCTTCAATGTCGTTCACATTTTTTTTCTGAAAGGGAACAAAACAAGATAAAAGGGCAAAGGATAACTTTGGTCAGATTTTCGAAATTTTTAGGATGTGAAATTGCAGTTCATTTAGTCGTCAGTTATTGAAGAAAGTCATTTATTTAGTGAAACGGCATCAAAAATTCGTTTTTGTAAGTGAAAAACGGTTTCAGAAATATTTATTTCCAAGGTTCTCTCAGCCAATACTAATGTAGTATTCTTAGAAGTGTGACCAAGATTAGGTTGCTTCAAATCGGCTTATTTAGACCTCAGGACTATGTGCTAAAATTCAGTCCAGACCTCTTAGGGACACCTTGTACTTACAAGAACACGAAAAAAAAGTCATTCCGGTCCTGATACGAATGTATTCTTCAGTTTTTCTAGGTCACTGGAGCGAATTATAAAATATATCTACGAAGTTTACAAAGAGAATAACAACAATTATGTTTTGGTTTTTTAAATATTTATTATATTTCCGTTTTTGCTGAATGACTGATATCCTGCCAGGAACTTTATTAACAAGTTCCTATAGTATTTTTCCCGTAGATTCATAATATGACCTCAGATTTTTGATAATTATTATACAGGGTGACTAATTCTCACAATAACACAACATAGGAAAAAAATAATTTTCCGGTCCTGATATTAGTTTCGTTCAAAGGGCTACTTGTTGAAGCCTTTGAGTTCAATTCATGTTCCAAATTCGAACCCAATCAGGTCATCCCTGTATTTAATATGACGAATTGAATCTTATGTCAAAATCCATGAATCACTCTGTATGTCTGTTACGAAGCGGTTTTGGACATTTGTAAATGGCATTTTGCAATCATATTGGCAGTCCCTATAACCCCATCAGTTTTGCCGGTTTTATCTCCGGACACCCTGTATTAATTTTCGTCTCTGTAGTCGATCAAGTCCCAGCCCTCGGTTGTCCAGCCCTCGCTGGACAACAGGACAAAGGACAAGGACAGAGAACGAGAGCGAGAACGAGAAAAGGACGCGGAAAGGGAGCGAGAGCGAGATAGGGAGAGGGAGCGGGAGCGAGAGAGGGACAGAGGAGACGGCAACAAAGAGAAGGAGAAGCGGATAACGAGAGAAACGAGAGAAATGAGCGACCCGAAGAGCGACAAGAAGCCGAACAGACGGTCGACGTCCAGAGAGCATTCTGGCAATTATGGTGGGAAGATCGAGCAGAGCAGGTCGGCTGCTTTGAACGGGTTCATCTATCCTTTGATAAGCGAGGTGAGTGGTTTCAGGTGTTATGTGATGTGACGTTTTCTCATAATAGAGAAGTTCTTTGAGAGAGAGAAAATACTATGTCTTCACCATCTGTCCTTGTCCTCAGTGTTCAGACACTGAAAATGAGAAGACGATCGTATATAATAAAGGTTAGAATGGTCTTCTTTGCTATTTCTTCTCATTTTCAGTGTAACCAACATAAAATTTTCATCATTTTGAAAAATTCCACTCCACTTTGAGCAAACATGGACTTCTACCGGAGATTATACTGATAAACATTGGGGGGGCGGGTGTGATTCCAGTTGCAGCGCAAGCACCAGTACAACGGCAGATCGTCGTCGGCGGCGGCGGAGTCGTCGCCCGGCAAGTCGGCCGACTCGGCCGCCTTGGAGGAGCTGGAGGCGGCGTTCGAGATGGCGGAGCGGTCGTGTCCGGGCATCGGCGAGGCGTTCGTGCGCGGGCTGGTGCGCAAACTGGCGCCCAACGTCACGGAGCAGAGGCTGCAAGGGGTGCTCGACAAGGTCGTCAGGTGAGATTCATATGTTTCCGAAGGGGTGGTTAGAGTTTGGGTTTGGAGTAGCTAGTTGAAAAGACTCAGTACCGGATTTAAACACAGGCTACATAGGCAGTTGCTTATGGGCACCACAAGGAGGCCCCAACCACACAATACCACACCACAAAGAAAATTAAATTAAATCGATAAAGGCTGAGTAGAAACAACAAAATACTGAGTTTTGTTTCAAATAGTTGGACGAAAATCTTATTTTTATGTTTGAGCGGGAAAAGTTAACATTATTTTAAAATCTGCGAGATCAAGCAGCATGAAATATGAACACTAATGGCGCCTTTCGCGCATATATTCGCGCACACTAATGGTGAAAAATTGTACTGCTGAAAGATCGTTCTAAAAACTGAAGCTTACAAAAAATAAACTCCGAAGTTTTAACTTTCCTTAGTTTAGAGAGTGATGTTTTGAGGGAAACAGTTATCGATATGTTTATTGATGTGAAAATCAGACGAAAAATAATTAAGCTTGTAGGTAAACTAAAATTATTATAGTTGTTTTCTAGTTTAATTTTGAATAAATTTGTATTAGCCAATGTATTTAGTTGCTTCCTTCTTTACCTTGACCTCAATAGAAACTTTCAACAGTTACATGAGGTGTTTCGCTAACTATTTTAGCATATTCAGGAGAGAATTGAGTCTAAGTATTCTATTCTATCCTGATAATAACATTTATTGATCCCAAGAAACATATATAGGGACTTGATAAAATATATTTCTTCAGTTCACTCTTAAATTTTTATGAGGAACCTAATAGATTTTATTCTGTTGGGTAGACCTATTATAAATATTTATTCCACAAAAATATGATTTTTTCTCCAATTGGGTTTTTATTTTGACAGTTTTCAAATGTTCACTTTGTCTGGTATGATGCTCATGGGTATCAGAAGTGATATTGAAAGTAAGATTCGAGTGCTTTTTCTTAATTTTAGTGAAATGGATGAAAATGCATACTTTTATTTTGAAAAGATTGAGTCAATATCTAGTAGATCCCTTGGTTTCTATAGTCTAGATGTTGGTTCCAGAAATGATAGTTTAAAAATACATTTTGTGTCTTTATTTTGAAGAGATTTCAGAGGTTTCGAAACAGATTTTGCAACAATTCGGCAGAGTTATTGATCCCCACCATTCGTGATTTCATTCGTTAATCCATGTTTGGCGTTTAGGATTGTCGACGAATACTGTTTAATGATTCATTAATCACCGCAAAGGGGTGAGGAAATTGTTTCTCAATTCTTGTAATTGCAATTTTTCGAATGAAAACAGTTTCCGGCTGTGAGAAAGGGGTCTTAATTTTTAGTAATTTTATTTAAGAGGTATGAAGGCGCTTAATAAAATTGTTTTGTATAAATAAGCAGTTTATGAACCTAGCTGTCGTCCCTTGAAATTTAAAATTTTTCATTTGCTGAGTGATCAGATTCAAATGACCATTTTTCACTTGATAATTTTTCTAATCATTCTTTTTTGTTTCAGGGATACTCTATAAGGATAACATTGGGGGTTGTTGAAAATATCTGTTGATCGAATGTAATAGTTTTTCCTATTTTCCGAGTTGTTGAAATAATTACCTACCGATTACATGACAATATCTTATATCTCTTGAGCTTATTACTGGTAAACTTAAGCGAGCGTTCACATAGAATAATAGGTTTTTCAAATTAACTGACACTGTGCATGTTGTTCCACTCACCTTTGGACAGAGTTTCAAATATCAAAATTTGTTGTCATTAGTCGCCATTCTAGGAGATTCGAATTTTCTAGTGGACTTTTTATTCATTTGATAGTTATTTCTTGAAATTGATTAATGCCATGCCCTATCGGGATGTATTTGTATATATGTATATCTAGATTGAAGTATATTGTATTATTAAGATAATATTTTCCTTGCAATGTATTTTTTTAGATGTGTAAATACCTATCAATAAAAGTTATTCTATTGATATGTCTACCATTTTTATTTGTCAGAAGGTTGATAAGATTAAAATAGACGGTTTCTGCGATTTTGAACCACATTTATGTTTCTTTGATGCTTATATCTGGAAAACTAATGAAGTTACGAGAAAATCTACCTTATATTCGTGTTTAGCACGTCGAGAACATCCTGTCTACAAATTTTCAGCTCAGTTTGACTCCTCAAAGTATATGAAAAAAGATCAAAGGAGTTAACCTTGCTTCTTTTTCATACCCAAAAATCAACTTAGTGCTTTTAGCTAGAAAAATAATGAAGTTTCGGGAAAATCGACGTTATAGTCGTGTTCAGCACGCCGAGAACATCCTGTATACAGATTTTCAGCCCAACTTTGTCCTAGTGCCTTCAAATTTGGCATTTGAGACCCACTAGGGATGCCCTAGTGCGGAGTAGAAGCACAGCCCTCTAGCCCTAAATCTAGAAAAAAAATCGATTTTTGACCCCCTTTCGGACTGAATTTTTTATGCACTTTACATCTCTGAAGTAAATGAAAAATCGAGTTGATGGGATCGTGCAGCAGACGAATTCGAGTGTGTTGAGACGATTTCTGCAGTTGTGAACCACATTTTCGTTTTTCAAAAATTGCTTATATCTTGAAAAATAATGAAGTTAAGAGAAAATCATCTTTATAGTCGTGTTCAGCACGTCGAGAACATCCTGTATCCAAATTTTCAGCCCATTCAGACGCCCCGAAATATGTGGAAAAAGTTCAAAGGGGTTAACCTTGTTTCATTTTCAGACCAAAAAATCAACTTTGTCCTAGTGGCTTCAAATTTGGTATTTGGCACCCTTTAGGGATGCCCTAGTGCGGAGTAGAAGCACAGCCCTCTAGCCCTAAATCTAGAAAAAAATCGATTTTTGACCCCCTTTCGGACTGAATTTTTTATGCACTCTACATCTCTGAAGTGAATGCAAAATCGAGTTGATGGGATTGTTCAGCAGACGAATTCGCGTGTGTTGAGACGATTTCTGCAGTTGGTGAACCACATTTTCGCTTTTCAAAAATTGCTTATATCTTGAAAAATAATGAAGTCAAGAGGAAACCATCTTCATAGTCGTGTTCAGCACGTCGAGAACCCCCTGTATCCAAATTTTCAGCCCATTCAGACGCCCCGAAATATGTGGAAAAAGTTCAAAGGGGTTAACCTTGTTTCATTTTCAGACCAAAAAATCAACTTTGTCCTAGTGGCTTCAAATTTGGTATTTGGCACCCTTTAGGGATGCCCTAGTGCGGAGTAGAAGCACAGCCCTCTAGCCCTAAATCTAGAAAAAAATCGATTTTTGACCCCTTTTCGGACTGAATTTTTTATGCACTTTACATCTCTGAAGTGAATGCAAAATCGAGTTGATGGGATTGTTCAGCAGACGAATTCGAGTGCGTTGAGACGATTTCTGCAGTTGGTGAACCACATTTTCGCTTTTCAAAAATTGCTTATATCTTGAAAAATAATGAAGTCAAGAGGAAACCATCTTCATAGTCGTGTTCAGCACGTCGAGAACCCCCTGTATCCAAATTTTCAGCCCATTCAGACGCCCCGAAATATGTGGAAAAAGTTCAAAGGGGTTAACCTTGTTTCATTTTCAGACCAAAAAATCAACTTTGTCCTAGTGGCTTCAAATTTGGTATTTGGCACCCTTTAGGGGTGCTCTAGTGCGGAGTAGAAGCACAGCCCTCTAGCCCTAAATTTAGAAAAAAATCGATTTTTGACCCTCTTATAAGAGTCCGAAATTTCGGACTAAATTTTTTATGCACTCTACATCTCTGAAGTGAATGCAAAATCGAGTTGATGGGATTGTTCAGCAGACGAATTCGCGTGTGTTGAGACGATTTCTGCAGTTGTGAACCACATTTTTGTTTTTCAAAAATTGCTAATATCTAGAGAAATAATGAAGTTAAGAGAAAATCATCTTTATAGTCGTGTTCCGCACGCCGAGAACAACCTGTATCCAAATTTTCAGCCAATTCAGACGCCCCGAAATATGTGGAAAAAGTTCAAAGGGGTTAACCTTGTTTCATTTTCAGACCAAAAAATCAACTTTGTCCTAGTGGCTTCAAATTTGGTATTTGGCACCCTTGAGGGATGCCCTAGTGCGGAGTAGAAGCACAGCCCTCTAGCTCCAAATTTAGAAAAAATCGATTTTTGACCCCCTTTCGGACTAAATTTTTTATGCACTCTACATCTCTGAAATGAATGCAAAATCGAGTTGATGGGATTGTTCAGCAGACGAATTCGAGTGTGTTGAGACGATTTCTGCAGTTGTGAACCACATTTTCGTTTTTCAAAAATTGCTTATATCTTGAAAAATAATGAAGTTAAGAGAAAATCATCTTTATAGTCGTGTTCAGCACGTCGAGAACATCCTGTATCCAAATTTTCAGCCCATTCAGACGCCCCGAAATATGTGGAAAAAGTTCAAAGGGGTTAACCTTGTTTCATTTTCAGACCAAAAAATCAACTTTGTCCTAGTGGCTTCAAATTAGGTATTTGGCACCCTTGAGGGATGCCCTAGTGCGGAGTAGAAGCACAGCCCTCTAGCTCCAAATTTAGAAAAAAATCGATTTTTGACCCCCTTTCGGACTAAATTTTTTATGCACTCTACATCTCTGAAGTGAATGCAAAATCGAGTTGATGGGATTGTTCAGCAGACGAATTCGAGTGTGTTGAGACGATTTCTAAACATTTTTGTTTTTTCTGAAACTGCTGAAATCCAGAAAAATAATGAAGTTACGAGAAAATCGACGTTATAGTCGTGTTCAGAACTTCGAGAACATCCTGTACCTATACATTTTCAGCCCAATCAGACGCCCCGAAATATGCAGAAAAAATTCATTTTCAGACCAAAAAATCAATGTGCCTTGAAATTTTGAGCGAAACTATGCAAGTTTTGGGATAAAAAGATTAAATGATGAATAAACAAATGAACAGAAACATTTTATTTAAAAAAAATATGTACAAATTGGTTTAAAGCTCAACAAAATACTCAAGAGTGCCTCATTGGCACCTTTCAGTTTTTTCTTTTCTTCTTATCCTTCTCTGGTACCATTCCCATGGACTTCTGGTATTCCAAAATGAGTTTTTCTTGTACCTCGGGCATACAAGGAGAATACCGGCTGTATTCCATGGTGAACTCCCCCTTCCCTTGAGTACTAGAACGGAGCTCCCCAGCATATCTGAAAATTAAAAATTTAAGCAACAAAATTTCTTTGAATCAATGGGTATACATCATAACCTATTATTCTAAAAATATCAACAACTAGTCAAATACATAATGTATCTAGTAGAAATAATCCGATAATTGTGGTAATTTTTAATGTCCAAATAGTGTTGCTTAACTTCTAGAAAAAATTGGCCATAATACATGATTTCATGCAAAGAAAACAAACAGCCAAAGGAAACATTATGGTGTTCCACAAGGAACTGTCCTTGGTCCTATCATTTATACCAATGACCTATTAAATGTGTATTGATGAACATATTTTATCTAAACTATATGGTAAACAGAATGAGCAGACAAAAGTACTTGACCTGTTTTCGAAAATTGCTTTGAACGTACAGGCTAACACATTTCAAAATGTTTTTGATGTTTTTAAATTATTGAATTCTTCCCACCAGTCCCTTTAAACAATTTGAAAATGACTAACATCTCCCAAATCAAATGAAGGTAAACAATATCGTTGTGTGAGACAAGAAAGTATTGCTGGCTGTGTGATTATTTAAAAACAAGTTATCCAATCAATCAGATCCCCAGAATGAATGAAATACAGATCAATCAAGTATGTGAATCTTAAAGGTTTCCCTGATCAAAAATAATACTTAACTATAATATGGTGTATTTATATCACCAGCATGGGTATGAAATGCCAAATCTGGCGAAATCGGGACGAAATCAGGTATGCGTCCAAACCCAAATAACCAACCATAACAATTTAGTTTATTCTTAAATGAAATAAAAGACTCCAAGTCGGTCGACCACACTTTATATCAAAAAAATTGTTTTAAATTTATTTCATTTATGAATACTGTGGGGCCACTTTGAGAATGGATGATATTCATAGTTTGTTTATTCTTGATGACCTAGTACATCCTTCTTAGTTCCTACATAACTGGTGTTAAAATGAACATTTGATCACCATTTATGTAATAATTTACTTTGTTAAAATTAAAAAAATTACTATAAATCACATTGAATGATGTTGGCAAAAAAGATATTAGTACTAGTATGTTATTCATAAATAGTTTCTTACCCGAACATTTCGTTTAGGGGCACTTCCGCGTGGACAGTGAACCAGCCCTCGGTACCTTCGGTGCCAGTGATGATTCCGTGTCGTTTGTTCAGTTGGACCATGACGGAGCCCTGGAACTCGTCAGGCGCTGTCACTTCCACTGCCATGACGGGTTCCAGGATCTGCCAGATGCCGGTTTCGAAAGCTGGAAGCGTTACAAAAAATTGTTTACGTCTGCAGTATTCATATTTATCCATTTATCTGAGCATGAAAAATCATTCTCTTTTGGATAGAGTCGAGATAATTTCAAAATCGCAACATATTTCATTTTTGACCCTCTCAGAAAAATCTACACCCACTGTTGTAGTTGTGGAGAGGACATTTTCAAAATTTCATTTGGTATGCTCGAGTTTTTTAAAAAAAGATTCGAAAAATGATATAGAAAAAAATTCGAGAGTGCGAAGAAAATTAAACATTGTTTATGTGCAACGCTCACAAAAAAAATTGAAATAACTACGATTTTATTTTTAATGGTAAGAAAACAATTTTTGAATCGCGACATTTTTGATGTTCAACCTTCTTAAAAAAATGTACGCACCTCATCTATCGGCGTACGTTGCAAACATTTTCGACATTTTTTATGTGCAGTCTCAGAAAAAATTTTGCACGCCCCTAAATTTGCAATTTTGATTTTACTGGGATGGTATAGAGGAAATTACGAAATCGTGACATAATTCATTTACGACCCTCAGAAAAAATCCCACGCTTAATTTCATTGATAATTTTCAGGAGGTTAGACATTTTGTAATGTGATGTTGGCTACAAATGTGTCAAATGTATAATCTGAATATGGTGCTACTATCAAAATAATTATTTTTTTCTGTGACGGGAAAAAAGTTTGGCATTTCATCTCTGTTGGCAGGTTATAAAATGTCCCTTTTCATAAATTACTTTTTTCCCGTGGGAAAACAGTGAGTACTTTTTTCCCGGATATATATCACATATATAGACACTGTTGATGGCTTTTGTTGTGCCATAGTTCCGAAAAATGAGTCAATAATACCGTCTCCCAGAAAGAACTGCAAGTCCTTTTATCTTCCATTCGACTTCGCGGTTACGTATATTACTAAACAACCACTAAATTCGCAATGTTTTGAAATCAAATCACAGAATTAGACTGACAGAAGTGACATCAGATATTTGATTACTTCAAAAGAATGATAAAGATGCCTATAACGCAGGTGTCCCTACTGTTAAAAACTTAGAATTTCACGTCGATAATTTTCAGATTTAAAAATAATGTAATATCTTCTTAATATTGATTCGTCCTTTCTTCTGTCACAGAAAAAAATAGTGTATTATACACGGGAAAAATATTAGATTTTAGCTCACGGTGTTTTGTCTCCCTCCGCTACTCGTCGGCAGACAACACAACCTGGAGCTAAAATCTACTACTTTTTTCCCTTGTATAATAAATAACTATTTTTATTAGATCAAAAGCTGTTTAATTGGTTATTATTAGAGATAGGGGAAAGAAAACCTTCTTGAACCCTTCGTTTTTCAAACTAGTTTACATTCGACATGATACTCGATTCAGTGATTGCTGCCAACAAGAAGCAGAGAATGTCTGAACCTTTCCAAGTTGAATATGACCAATCAATGATATTATTTTCTTCTGAATTTGTCAAGTTATAAAGTGAAAGATGGAAATGATAAAAAAGATGATTTGCGTTCGTTTGTTTAAGAATAGACGAGTGGACTGTTTTTTTTTTATTTCTTAAATAGAATCACTCAAATACCTTCCAATTTCATATTTTTCAAGAATTTTTCGGTCGATTTTTAGGTGCTAAAATCATCAATAATGCCAAGGTAATTTTCAAACGGCTAGAAATTAGGGACAGACCATAGCACACTTGCCATATGTGTTGAAATATGATTGGGAACTTCAGAAATATTAGTTATTCAATAATTCATAAATTCTCAATCAAGTATTGGTAATTTTCCTAATTATCACTAAAAACTCTATTGTCTCCAAATTTTCCCTTATGATTTGTGGCTTATTGCTCATAATACATTTGTGTGAATAATAATTGTATTAATTCACACTAGAGGACATTTGAATCGGTGAACGTGACAACACGGCGGTGGGCGTGGTCTTGTCAGTTCTCAGTATTCAGCACAATATTGCGAAGTCTCCAACATAAAAAAAAAAAAAAACATTACCATGATATTTAGTTATAGAGATTAAGAAATATTTGGGCATGTTGGTTGCTATAACTTTTTGATAACTTGGTTATAATTGGTGACTTAACAACCTTGCGTCACAAGTGGGAATGGAAGATTATTCGACAGCATAAAAACTGGCGTCATCATTTATGCGACGTATGGCTATGGCTAAATGGCGGCCACAACGGTACGTTTGTAATGAGCTCTGGAATTATCAGTCCACTCGCCCGTTGCAATAGATCATAATATTCGAGGTGGTTTTACACCTCGTAGAGTAGGTAGGAGCCGAAACGGTGTAGTTGATTTTGCCACACTCACTTTGTTTGATAGCTCCCTGGGCAGCCAAAAAGAACGACAACTCGCTCGAATCCACGATATGATGCGCCCCGTCCACCAGCCTGAAAATCAACCCCGACAGCTTCTGCCCCGCCAGCAGCCCCCTAAATTCAGTTACATTGTATTTTCATTAGGAAATTTATGGAGTAGTTTTGATTTCTTTCATTCCATAAATATTACGCCAATTTTACAACCAACGCTTGGGCTCGAACGGTTATTCATTGAGTAAAAAAAACTGAGTGATGAAATTTGTAAATAATTTGAACTACCTCCATTATGAATAGGAAGATAAGCAAAAAACCGGCAGCAATGAATTGTGTTTTTCCAATTTTTTTGGGATTTTTTTCAATGTTACGTCATGAAATTGAATTAGCAATCCTCACAGATTCAAATTCAGCACCCCAAAAACATGTTGAATGAAAGAATTCAAAACTATCCGACAATGTTTCCTCTATGGACCATTTTAAGCATAAATAGCATGTATTAGAGTCTTCTAGAATAGCCAAATCCAAGAGGCCAGCGTAAACAAAGTGATTAACGCGTGATTACGAGTTCATTTGATATACTCTTCTATTGGTCAAAGCCAGGATGAACAGAAGATGGTGTAGAATCTCCTATCAAATCCCATCTACTGTTTTTCGGTCGAAGTTCTTGACCTACGGCCTACTTGACAGAAGGATTCTTTTCAATATCGCGGAATATAGGTCGCATTTTACCCGTTAGATGGCGAAATCTCAACCAAAATTCAAGGTTGGTAGAACTGATGATAATTAAAATTCCCCAAAATTACAGTTTCGTACTTTCAAATTTAATCTCATTTGATTTGTGGTTATGTTATGAATGTTGGAATGATATGATATTATTATTTCTGGTGCAAGCGGTGTAAGCGCCGTTTTCTGTCATGAAAGAAAGAAATCTGTAAAAAGTGTCACCATCTTGCGGACAACTGAGAACTAATATGCCATTATTGCGGAATCTGCGGTCAAGCGTTTTGGGAGAAATAAAACACTGTCTGTGATTACACCATATTCTATCCAGATCCTTCTATCGCCATGTCTGTAGGCGAGAATGGGGGTATACCGTCTCCAGAACCACAGCAGAACACATTAGTAATCAAGTTCATGATGCGTGATCACTGCATGCGACTGCATGCTACAGTGTGTACAGCTGGCCTCTTGGGTTTGGTAGTACTATAGGCACTCTAATGATTTATTTTTTTCATATTTTGATGTATTCATTTCTGAATTCGGAATGACCCTTTGGACTCAAGGGTATATCCTCAGATGGGAACAAAGTGAGCCAAAGGAATAGGAATTCACTGAACTCTAGCTGTCATACGAAATATTATATCATATAATAAATGTTATATTTCATCTGTAAACCTTCATTCAATCAATTACAAGAGCTCCTTATCAGTAAGTCGTCTTTTGGTGATTCATCACACACTAAAATAAATAAAAGTTAATCAAAATAGGGTTATGTGCACCTTGATACCAGTGGCGGCTCCTCAGAGGAGGCAACGGAGGTTGAGCCGCCTCAAGAATGTTCATACAACGCATAGTTCCATATACTTGTATAAAATATACACGGAAAAAAGCTAACTTACGTTTCGATTTTATTTCCTGATATAAAGTAGAAATTGAGACATTTGCAGCAATTCATTTTCCTAAAAGTATTTAGAATAAAATACAAATTTGCGACTTGTCAACAATGGAAAGCAGCCTCTGACCAATGAAGCTCGCCAGAATCAGGATTCGCGAGGCAGCACGTGTGACTGAGATGTCTTTAAGTATAATATGGTGTTTGTACTGATGAGCTTTTGTTTTGCTCAAACTTAAAGGCAATAAACAGTTGAAAATCATAAAAACTCAATTACCAGAATTTCATTAAACACTATCAAAAATGAACATACTTACACCATTTCTGTTTTTTTTTTGGTCGTAAGTATAAGTGATTGTTGTTATTTGGTCCGAAGGAAATTAAAAATATGACATCAGCCTCTTACGAATTTTCTATGAACGAGAACCTTATTATAAGCGCCGTCAGATTTTTTCGTAGAATTTCACAATCACACTTCCATTCAGCCTCCCCTGTTGAAAGGAGCTCGAGCCGCCACTGCTTGATACCCTGTGCCGTTGACTCACGATGTCCACAAAACCATACAACGCGCTAAAAAAATCCTAGAGCATGAAATACTCAAAAAATGATTGAGAGAATCATCAAAATTCAAAATTCGCTCAGTTATCTACACATTATGATTTTGTTTTGATATTTCTTTTATATATTTTGATCAAAGACACTAAACGGCGCACGCCTCAGTAATGTGGCCAATCGGAGGATTTTTCCGAACCGAAGTACCCGAGGACAGAGCAGAAATACGAGTACGCGAACGCGAGATTTTTCTACCTACAAAAGTGTCGGTATTAATCGCGGAACTTTTCTTTGTTATGAAGGATTGATGAGGTGCTAGACCTCATAATCGATTAAGAAGATCATCAGAAAGGGCCCTTTCACCGGCAGACAAGAACACCAGTCTATGGCGTCCACTGGAGGTGAGTCCGTTTAGTGCCCTCGCTTTATTTCGGAGTTATTGTCAATTTTATACAGTTCATTAATCATACCACTTAAGAATTATCGACGAAACATCATGAAGAGAGTTTGATATGAGATTGATGTGAAAAAAACCTCTGAGCTGTAAAAAAATCATATTAGAATTGGCTGTCCCCATTTGAAGACACGGTGAGCGAAAGGGCTAGCGTGTATTACCTCTCGGCCATCGCCAGGAAGCCCCTCTTCACGCCCGGCACGAACGGTTTGGGCACGTTCGTGCCCACTGTCTGGTCCACGAACTCCAACATCGTGTTCTGGTGCGGGGGCAGCGGCTCCAGCACGCCCGAGACTCTAGCGTACTGCCCTTGGCCGCCCGACTGCTTCTTGTGCAGGTAGTCGAACTCGCAGGGGGAGACTAGGGTTTCGCGGAAAGAGACCTTTGGTTTGCCCAAGTTCACCTGGGGAAGGGGGTAGGTTCGTTAGAGAGAACTTCCGGTGCACCAGTGTATTTACATTTTGTAGACGGTAGACTCAAGGTCTCACTATTCCAAGCAGGAAACAATGGGAAGAGAACACAGTGGAATTCCGCCCAGGGAGTCTAGTATGTTATACGGACGGATCGCGCCTAACTGACAAACAGGACTCAGGTACAGGAATTTACTTAGAAGGAATAGGAATAGGGGAGAGCTACGCTCTTGGAAAGTAAACCACAGTTTTCCAGGCTGAGGTCTTTGCCATTCTGACAGTAGCGGAGAGGCAAGAGGTGAAAGAGGGACCAGAGCAGAAGATTTACATCTGATCGGATAGTCAGGCGGCTCTCAGGGCTATCTGCCATCCTAAACCAAGCTCAGCTTTGGTGCAGGAATGTGGCGATGCTCTTGAGAAACTAGCTGAACAGAAGGAAGTCGAACTAGTATGGGTTCCGGGTCACAGGGGGGTGCCCGGGAACGAGGTGGCCGACGAGCTGGCTAGAATCGGATCCGCGACACCGTTCTGGCGACCGGAGCCTGCACTGGGCATAACAAGGAGCCAAACTTCGTCTGCCCTTAACAAATGGGCGGACGAGGCACTAGAAGGATACTGGAGACGTATAGGCGGCTGCAGGCAATCGAGAGACCTGATGGCCGGTCCAAGCAAGCCAAAGACGGCATGGTTACTGGGCAGGGATCGCCAAGTCCTGCGCCTTCTTATAGGGGTACTGACAGGGTACAACAGATTATGCAGACACCTATCACACATAGATGTGGAAGATAGTCCCACTTGCCGTGAATGCGGAGAAGATGAGGAGACATCACTTCACTTCCTCGGAGAGTGTGAGGCGTATGGAAGAATGAGATTGGAAATCTTTGGAGTAGATAAACTACAACAGGAAGATTTGTTCGAATTAGAGTGGACGGACATCCTGACCTTCATCAGAAGGACGGGAAGGTTCGAAAAGGACAACTAAAAGAGGGATGTGTAGATATGTGGAGAGCAGGGGTTGGTAAAAAGGGCCCATGGGGGCCTACTTGCCTGGCTACAGCCTCCCCACAATACTACCACTACTAAGGTTTACCTAGAGTTCCTACATGTGCTTGAACAAAAAACGTCAAAACAGCAGTTTCAAGTACATTTAGGAACTCTAGGTTTACCAAAACGTTAAGGAAATTTTATTGCAAGGTGTAATTTCATTGGAAATACTTCCATCTAATTTTATTTAATAGACTTTCGATTCAACGTGGAGTGTGATTTCATTTAATACTTCGGTTTACCAGTGCAATTTCATTTGGTTGACTTTAGGTTTACCACAACCTGAATCGGTTTTAAAGCTGTGATTTTGTTAAAGAAACTTTGTGTAAGGTGTGATTTCATTGAAGATACTTCCGCCTAATTCAATTCAATTGACAATGCAGTGCAGGTAGTCAAACTTGAAGGGTTTTGTGGAAAGAGACCTTCATTTCACCCAGGTTCACCTGGGGAAGGGGGTAGTTTCATTAGTTGTTTTTTTTTCATTCAATACTTCCGGTCTACCAGTGTAATTTCATTTGGTAAACGATAGACTTAAGGTTTACCAAAATTATTGCAAGGTGTGATTTCATTGAAAATAATTTCACCTAATTTGATTCAAGAGAATTTTGGTTCAATGTGAAGTGTGGTTACATAAATTCTTTCGTTTACCAGTGGGATTTCATTTCAAAATGCTAAACCATTTTAATGCTATGATTTTATTAAAAAAACTTTATGACAAGGTATGATTTCATAGAAAATACTTCCACATAATTTCATTTAATAGACTATCAGTTCAAATTGAGAGTAAATTAATTAAATACTTCAGGCTTACCAGTGTTATCTCAATAAAGACTTGGTATAACCCAAGGTATGATTTGGTTCATAAGATTTCCTGTTTCAAGTTGTGATTGCATTGTAAATACTTCCACTAAATTTTGATGAATTGGCTTTCAAATTCAATGTGAAGTGTAATTTCATCAAATTATTTTGGTTTACCAGTGTGATTGGAATGAAGACTTCTGGTTTACCCCAAGGTATGATTGAATTTATAAGATTCCCTGTATTAAGTTGTGATTTCATCAAAAATACTTCCACTGAATATCATTAAAGAGACTTTCAGTTCAAAGTTAAGTGTGACTTCATTGAATACTTCCGGTTTACCAGTGTGCATTAATTTAGTTCACCAAATTGCCACCATGGAAAGATAAAATTCCAGATAATGGCAGTATTTTCCTTCATTGAATAAAACATATGCTATTGCCTCTATGTAGTGAAGAAAAGCAGTCAGATAATATGATTTTTTTCAATAATATACTCACTGGACAGTTATATTCCCTCTCCATCCTTTGTGCATAAATCTCCAAATGTAACTCTCCCATACCAGATACAATGGTTTCCTTATTATCATTATCAAAATAGAAATGAAATGTAGGATCTTCTTTAGTGAACCTACAAAAATATTTTTCATTCATTCACCTTGTATTTTGATAATCCAAATCAGTATTAAAATTTCAGTTACCCATACATAGAAGAAAATCAGAAGTAACTATTAAACAAGAAATATCAACACACCTTGCAACAGCTTTGGAGAAATTATCTCTATCTTTGGAATTAGTTGGACTAATGGACATTGAGACAACAGGATCAGGAACATAAATGGATTCCAGAGAAATGTCCCCTTTTGGGTCAGTGACAAAAGTGTCTCCACTGGCACAGTCCACCCCAAATAATGCAAAAATGTCACCAGCAAAAACTTCATTGACATCTTCCATGTTGCTGGAGTGCAGACGCACCAGTCTGGCTATTCTGACTTTCCTTTGAGTTCTTACATTGAAAATTGCATCACCTGTAATATTATCAATAATTGAATGCTCCTATAAATTGGGGACAGTCCCAATTTTGTTGATTCTGTGTATTAAATATGAACAACCTAATTTCCTTCTCAGAAACATCATCATTTTATGTGTTCAACTCACCTTTCTGTAGCATACCCTGGTAACACCTCATATAAGTCAGCTGTCCAAACCTACCAGCCTCCAGTTTGAAAGCAAGGGCAATAAATGGTTTTTCCCCACTTCTTGTTGGATCCAACAAAATTTTTTCACTCTCCTTTCCTTGTACTTCTCTCAAGCCATAATTACTAACCTCACCAGGGTTTGGTAAATATTCCAGGACAGCATCTAACAGTGGCTGAACCCCCTTATTTTTAAGAGCTGTGCCTACCAAGACAGGTGTGAATTTTCTCTGTAAGCATGACCTTCTGATAGCTGACTTGATATCAGACACAGTCAGAGGTTTTTCTTCAAGATACATTTCTCCAAAAGCATCATCACAGTTTGACAGATGCTCAATTAGCTCATGCCTCCTTTCATCACTTTCAGTTCTCATTTCAGGGGGTATTTCATCATAACGAATATCCTCACCAAATGCCCCATCAAAATATATAGCTTGCTGATCAACCAGATCTACTATACCTTGACAATTTGACTCCAAGCCTATGGGGAGCTGGATAAAGGCAGCATGATGGTTCATTTTTGATCTCATCTGTGAGAGGACTCTATTGGGATTTGCTCCTAATCTATCTAGTTTGTTTATAAATGCTAAACATGGTACATTGTACCTTCTCATTTGTCTATTCACAGTCAAAGACTGGCTCTGTACTCCACCTACAGAGCACAAAACTAAAACAGCTCCATCTAGAACCCTTAGAGCTCTTTCTACTTCTACAGTGAAATCTACATGGCCAGGTGTATCAATTATATTGATGTTATGATTTTTCCACAGAGTATATGTGGCAGCAGATTGAATGGTAATTCCTCTTTGTCTTTCAAGTTCCATTGAGTCCATAGTGGCTCCTACATTGTCTTTGCCCCTTACTTCATGCATTGAATCAATTCGGCCAGTGTAGAACAAAATTCTTTCTGTAAGGGTAGTTTTTCCAGAATCTATGTGAGCGGAAATTCCTATGTTTCTGATTTTGCTGAGGTCTTTGTGTTCGGCATATTTGGCATAATTGGACATAAGTTTCTCATTGTACTACAAATAATTTGTTTTGAAATTTCAAGTTGTATGATATATGATAAAATATAGTTACTTTCATGGAACTCTGTATAGAATGAATTAGAGATTTTCGAAGCCTGTACATGATTTTTCAGCCTAAAATCAAAAACAAAAAAATCACTTTCTGCATTTGCAGGTTATTTTTAGTAACATGAAGTAAGGTTAACCGTCTTCTTTTTATTGAATTTCTTCTTATGTGTTCTTAGTTTTCCATTTCATCTTCCTTTTTTCAATTTCACTTTTTGCTTCGTCATCAACCAGTTTACTTTTTACACTCAATGATTTGTAGAACCTAGCCAGTGATTCCTCATGATATATGTTCCTTTTTATAAAGCCCTACTATATCGAAAACGCCCATAGCAATGTGAGCACGAGGCCCCGGTGATCAACCATGGAATTCCAAAGTGAAGATTTTCAAAACTATGAAATGTAGCGGCCAATTTTTTGAGTAAAACATCGAAATAGAGATATGCTAATCTTTTATTCTGAACAACACATTGGTCACCACAAAGTGATGTAGGTACGAGATGATCATTTGTCCTCCAAATCGAGTCCATTGCTTGAACCTGAGTGACCACCACTGTGGCTGGAAAATGTCCTTTTCGTACAAGTTCTGGATTTACCATCCTAGGATAAACAGACCATTTTCATTACCAAGTCGATTTTACGAAACTTCATTATACTTACACGCTGCGGTCCATATACTTTACGCCCTTGATACATGAATATATATAACTATTATGTTTCACTTACCCCTGGAGATAAATCTGTATAAAATGCGGCCCTTGTTCTTGACGTGGACTGACGTGGAAAAGAACTTGGTTGGTTGTCTCTGACAGGGGTAAAAGTATGAGGAGATGGATGTCGATGGCAAGTTTTTTCTTGAAGTTTCATTCTCAGCATCATCTCGCTGTTTACTGTTTTTTCCAACTTAATTCTCATAGCCTAAAAAGTTTGAAAATAGTTCAGTATTAGTAGGTATATCTACATTATTATACAGAGGGTGATTCAAGAGAAGACTAACGACATATTCAAATGGGGAATAGGGGAAATCAAGACGGGTTGATGTATATACCGGGTGTCCCAAGTTATCTTTTACCAATATCTAGCTTATTTGACAAAATAATTGAAAAATTCAAAAACTGCATTGAATGGCATTGAAGTACCTTCCTAATGACATAAAAAAGCTATTACATTTGACAGTTCTCTGGCAGCTACCCCCACTTTACATTTTCAAATTGAATCCCCTGTATATTGTCATTGGAAATGACGTGTTATTCAATTTGGAATCCAACGATAGCGTATACTTGGTATTTTTTATTGATAACAAAAATATCAACATTTCGGTGACTAGTTTCAAGTTACTTAATAGTTTTACTTATGAAAAGGGAAAAAATGCTATTGTTAAATTTCTTATAGGATGACAGGCAACTTCCAATGACAATATACACGGAATAGCTGCCAGAGAACTGTCAAATGTAATAGACACCCGGTATATGAAAAATGTTTGTGGCCATCTTAAAACGAAGATATACAGACATATTATGAGAAAAATCCAGATACGGACTTGGAAAAAATTAATGTTTTTGGATACAACAATATAAAACATGAATTTTTTTAAAGTCCGGATCTGGATTTTTTTTCATGGCATGTCATCGTGAATAGTTTCAATAGAGAAACGTCGCTGCGAAATTTCAATAAACAAAATTATTATTATTATTATATTATTATTATTATTTCACATAATACCCTATATATCTTCGTTATGGGTGCCAACAATATTTTTGATATATATATATATATATGATTCCTCCTCTATTCACCATTTGGCTATGTGAGTCTTCTCATTAATCACCCTGTATAAGAATTTGAGGAATGGACGAATTATTATTACCTCTAAGGCTTCGGTATCTTTCCTCTTGTTCTGCCTGGATCTACTTCTCTCGGCTTCCAACAAACTTTTCAAATGCTGATTATTCGATTTCTCTTTCTCCAATTCGTCTTCCAAATTTCGACTCTTACCCCTTTCTTCTTCCACTGCAACGCTGAAAAAACAAAGATGATTTTCATCTCGATTCTCACCAACTCACTCAGTATCAACACATACAGGTACTGCTCCAACTTTTGCTCGTGATATGACTTCTGCCTTTGAATCAAGTCCCTCTCTTCCTGGATATTCGAAACCACTTTGGATTGCGACCCGATTTGGTTGAGTAACTCGCTGTTCTTCATTTTTTCTTCGTCCAAACTCTTGCGTAAATCGCTGAGACGTTCCTTCTCAAGCTTTACCGCATACTGCATAGCAATTACTAGAATAAAGTAAAGAAAAAGAACATGAGAAAAGACACTAGAAGATCGGAAATTATTCAGGTACCTTTTTGTTGAGCATGTTTCTGCTTTTTCAGCAAATCCCCTTCCAGCGAAGCGATGCGACGAAGCAAACCCAACTTGTCGTTTTCGTTAGGCTTCAGCACCCCGCTACTCTGTCCAATTTCTGCCAAAACGTTGGCAGTGACGTCACAAATTTTCGTGTGCAGCAACTGCAATTCTTCGATTCCCAGAGCATCGATCCCAAGTCTCCCTAATTTCTCTAGCACCGAATCTAAATTGGGTTCGCAAGAGCAGGAAGTCTTGCCGAAAAATTTCAGCTCCTTGGCTGATAAGGGAGTGGTGATTGCTATCACATCTGGCATTGCAGCATCGGTGGAGAATGTTTTGAACGTCTCCATTTTGAGCGGTTCCTTCGACTTTTCGACAGGCACTGGTTGAACTGCTTCGCTCACATGCTCTTCTTTTCTCTCTGTCGGTGATGAAATCTCCGATATCTTTTTCTTCAAACTCTCCAAGTCCTTGGTCAATTCTTCACTCTTACGTTTTTCTTCCTCAAACGATTTCTGCAATTGTAAACTGCTGCGCTCGAGATTTTCCTTCTCTTTTTCCAACTTAGAAGTCTTGTCCACCACTTCTTTTTTCTCCTTGGCAAGTTCTTCACTCTTTCTCTTCTGTTCCTCGATGGATTTCCTCAACAGAAAACTTGCGCTTTCCAGATCTTTGCTCTTCTTCATCTCTTCGTCAAGTTTACCTTCTAAAACCTTACTTTTTTGTGATTCTTCCTTACTCTTCCTCCTTTCCTTCTTCACGATATTCTCAACTTGCTCAACTTTATCTTTAATCTCTATACTTTTTCTTCGCTGATCATCCAATAAAGCTTTCAGCCTATCTCTTTCCTTGGTAACTTCGTCCAATTCCCCTTTGGCCTTTTTCAGAGCATCTTGGAGACTCTTGATGTCTTTGTCATGCCTTTCGTTGAGCTCCTTGAGGAACTCCTCATGCGCTTTTTGAAGCTTATCTATGCTGATTTCGTTCTTTTTCAAGAGATCCTTCATTTCTCTGTCGAACTGTTCTTTCATTGATGCTATGTTATCGGTACATTCCTTTTTTTGCTTTGCTAGTTCTGCTTGGAGTTGCTTAATCTTAGCTTCATACTCTTTCATTTTGTCTGCATCAGGCTTAGTTTTCATCAGCATTTCGTTGTCAGATTTCAGCTTGTCGTAATCTCCCCTCATTTTCGAAAGATCTTCTGCAGCTTTTTTCGCCATATCGTTAGCTGTTTTCAGGCCGTCATTCAGTTTTCCTAACTGATTCTCCAAGTCCTTCAATCTAGCTTTCAATTTTTCATTGTCCTCAGAAAGTTCTTTAATCTTCCCATCTTTTTTCCTGTTCTCGCTCATTGCTTTCTCTAATCTGTTCTTCAAATCGTTGACCTGGTTATCTCTCAATCCCATTTCTTCTTTCAACTTCGCTAAAGAATCGTCTAGAGTACCTTCTTGTATAAGTTTATTCTCAAGATCCTTAATCTTTGCATCCTTGCTTTTATTGTCAGCTCTCGCCTTATCTAGATTTTTCTTCAACTCATCGATTTGACCGTCTTTTTGTGCAATTTCTTTTTTCAACTTTGCAAGATCATTGCCAAGCTTTGCCACTTGATTTTCTAAGTCTTTAATTTTTTCTTTCAATTTCACATTTTCGTTGGTTAATTCGGTGATTTTGTCGTTAGTATCATCTAACTTTTTCTTCAACTCATTTATCTGGGTGTCTTTCTGAGCTGAAGATTGCTTGAGCTTAGCAATATCGTCCTTGAGTTTAGCTAATTCACTGGCAGCATTTCTAGAATCAGACATAGCAGAGTCAAGGTCTTTTTTCATCTTAGCATTGACAGTCTCGAGGTCTGCTATTTTCTGCTTCAGCTTCGTATTCTCGTCTTTGAGTTTCTGAACTTCTCCAGCTCTGTTCTTCGAATCACTAAGAGCCCCATCCAAGTCTTTTTTCAATTTAGAATTGTCTCCTTCAAGTTGGGCAACTTTCTGCTTCAATGACGCATTCTCATCTCTGAGTTTGTTCAAGTCACCTTTACCAGATTTAGCATCGCCAGAAGCCGAGTCCAAGTCTTGTTTTAGCTTAATGTTATCTGACTCTAATTCGGCAATACGTTGTTTAAGTTTAGCTTCACTATCTTTAACGGCTGAGAGGTTGGCAAGTGCTTTCTTCTTTTCATCCATAGCGCTGTTCAATTCTTTCCTTAATTTTTCGATATCCCCTTCCAACTGTTTAACTTTTTGTTTCAGTTTACCATTTTCATCAGTTAGTTGTGTATTAGCTGATGAAACTGTTTTAGCGTTAGCTAAGGCATCATCGAGATTTCTCTTCAGCGTAGCGTTATCTTTTTCTAGTTGACCTATCTTTTGTTTCAGCTTCGCATTCTCATCTTGCAGATTCGACAGTCCAGAGTCACCCTTCTTGGAGTCATTCAATGCATTTTCCAAGTTCTTTTTGAGCTTCGCTATCTCGTCCTCTAGTTGGCTAATCATCTGTTTCTGTTTAGCATTCTCGTTCCTCAGCTTTGTACCGGTATCACCTCCAGCTCTAGCTTCATTCAAAGCAGCTTCCAAGTCGCCCTTCAGCTTGGCATTATCTTTCTCTAGCTGCGATATTCTTTGCTTCAGTTTTGCATCGTCTGCTTGCATTTGTGACAGACCGGTGGCACCTTGTTTAGCATTCTCTAGGGCAGCGTTGAGATCTGATTTCAATTTGGATATTTCTCCCTCTAGCTGATTGACTCTTTGTTTCAACTTGTTGTTCTCGTCTCTCAGCCCTTGTGCTCCAGAACTGTTAGCTAGGGCATCATTAAGGGCCTTTTCTAAGTCTTTCTTCAGTTTAGCATTCTCGTTCTCTAGTTTTGCGATCTGCTGCTTCTGTTTCGAGTCATCATCTCGCATCTTTGTGACATCAGCAACGCTTTTTTTAGCTTGATCAAGGGCATTATTGAGATCACCTTTTAACTTCTTGTTTTCTTTTTCTAATTGTGCTAACAGGTCTCTCAGCTTTGCATCTTCACTTTTCATTTGATCTGCTCCTGATGAACCTTTTTTGGCATCTGCAACAGCGGCATCTAAGTCCTTCTTCAGCTTTGCATTTTCAGTTTCCAGCTGTGCAATACGCTGTTTCAATTTTGGGTTTTCTTCTTGTAGCTGCGACAACAGTTTTTGTATCTTTTTCATTTCGTCCAAGGTTCCGTCTAGATTTTTTTTCAGTTGAGAATTCTCGGCTTCCAAGAGCCCTATATTTTGCTTTGCTTTAGCAGCGTCATCTTTCGCGACAGCTAGGTTGCCTGCAGTGGTTTTCAGCTCAGCTGTCAAAGCTATGATATCTTTATTCAGTTTACCGTTATCAGCTTGAACTTGTGCAAGCATTTGCTTCAGCTTCGACTCGCTATCGCGCAGTTTGTTTAATTCATCGTTGCTCATCTTCATATCGCCCATAGCTCCTTCATACTGAGCCTTCCATTTGGAGCCATCTTTTTCGAGCTCGGCAATTTTTTTCTTAAGCCTTTCGATTTCATCTTGAAGCTGAGAGATGGTCTTAGGACATTTTTTATGGTCATCTAAAACATTATCCAGGTCTTTCTTCAATTTACTGTTAGTATCTTCGAGCTGAGAGACTTTGGCTTTCAATTTTTCGCTATCATCTACGGGTGTTGGAATTTTCTGGTCTTTCAGAAAGGCGTCTAGATCTTTCTTCAGCTTTGAGTTCTCCTGTTCTAGAAGTGCAGCTTTCTGCTTCAACTTGTTATTCTCATCCTTGAGAGACTGGATTATGTTGAGATTACTTTTGTTATCTGCTGATGAAGTGTCCAGATCCTTCTTCAATTTTGCGTTTTCAGATTCGAGCTGTGCTATGCGTTGCTTTAATTTTGATTCGCTATCTCTGAGGGCAGAGATCTCAGAAGCATATTTTTTCGCATCATCTAGGGCTTTATTGAGGTCTTTTTTGAGTTGGGCATTATCATTCTCTAGCGAATTCATCTTTTGTTTGAGCTTGTTCTGGTCGTCTTGAAGTTGCGATATCGTAGCGGTAGCTTTATTCAGATTATCCAAAGCTGCGTTTAGATCTTTATTAAGCTTAGAGTTGTCAGCTTCGAGTTTTCCGATTCTATCCCGTTGTTTATTGTCATCATCTTTGAGTTTATCAAGGCCAGCAGTTTTTTTAGCTTCTTCTAAAGCCCTCTCAAGATCTTTCTTGAGTTTCGAGTTCTCGTTTTCCATTTGTGCCAGTTTTTGTTTTAGTTTGGCGTCTTCGTCCATCAAACTACTACCTTTTCTCGCATCCTCCAACGCAGTATTTAGATCTTTTTTCAGCTTGACGTTTTCAGCTTCTAGTTTTGCCAGTTTATCTTTCAGACCAGCCAATTCGTTTTGTTGACGTCCCAAATCAGAAGCAGCCTTTCTAGCTTCCGCATTAGCTGAATCTAAATCTTTTTGTAATTTCGCCAGTTTATCTTCAGCTGCATCTTTGGCATTCTTCAATTTTTCGTTTTCACTTGTCACCTGAGCGAGTTTAGCTGCTGTGCTCTTCGAGTTATCCAGAGCAGCATTCAGGTCTCTTTTTAAGTTACCATTTTCAGTTTCAAGTTGATTTATCTTCTGTTTTAGCTTCGATATTTCATCTTGAAGATCTGAAACGCCTGAAGTGCCCTTTTTAGCTGAATTTAGTGCCGAGTCAAGATCGCGCTTCACCTTAGCAAGTTCGCCTTCTAGACTTTGAATGTCTTTTCGAAGTTTAGCGTTATCATCCTCAAGCTGTGCTACTTTAGCAGAGTCCTTTTTAGCATTATTCGACGCATTGTCGAGATCTTTCTTCAGTTTGTCGTTCTCACTTTGAAGTTTGACTTGGTTTTGTTTCAAATCAGCAATTTCGTTTTGGAGTTTCGATATCTTATCGTATGCATTCTTTATTTCGTTTTCTTTCTGAGCAACCTCGTTTTTAAGACTTGCCTTGTCTTTTTCTAGTTGAGCGATTTGATCGTTCAATCGTTTGACTTCACTTTTCAAGAAATCGTCTCCAGAAAGTCCTGATTTCAATTTATCTACAGACGATTTCAGATCGCCATTTTCTTTCTGCAAATTAGAAAGCTGTTGTTTGAGCTGTAAATTTTCGTCGTTCATTTTTTTAGCGTCGTTTAAAGCTGCGTCTAGGTCTTTTTTCAGTTTTGCAGCTTCATTGACACTTTGCGCCAGTTGTTGCTTCAGATTGGTATTTTCGCCTTCGATATCAGCTAGCTGCTTCTTCAGTTTTGCGATTTCTGCATTCAACATGGCAGAAGGGTCGCTTGTCTTCATGTTTCGTAGAGCCAGTTCTGCAGCATCAGCTCTTTTTTGTTCGTCTTCCAGACGTTTCGTCAGATCTTTGATCATTTTTTGTAAATCATCAGATGGACCAATAGGTTGCATTTTTTTGTCATCTCGTGATAAATTTTTCAACTGATTTTCCAAGTCAGCAATGATTGACTGAAGAGTTTGTTTTTCCTTGAGTTCCCTTTCCAAGTGAGATTTCGAAACTTCGACTACTGGTTTTGGTGCCTTCATTTTGTCTAGTAGATCACTGATCTCTCTAGCTTGAGCTTCCAATTTCTTCAGCAAGTTTTCATTTTCCTTCTTCAGTGCCTCAATGATACCGGTATCTGTTTGTTGTTTCTTCAGTTTATCTAACTCGGCTTTCGTTTTCTCGAGTTCATCTTTCAACTGTTTGTTTTCATCCTTGCATGACGACAATTTTTGCATGAGGTCTTTACTATCATTCTCGATTTTTTTCAATCTATCATTCTCATCTTGGAGTTCCTTGTTCTTCTTGGCAAGGGCATCAAGTTCGTTTTCCATCTTAGAACTCCTTCGAGATGTTGTCATCACATTACTAGCCAACATTTTCTCTAAATCGTCTTTTTCTTTTTTGAGTTTCTGGATTTGAGACATCAGTTCGTCAAAGTTTTTAGATTTTTGCTTTTCGTCATCAAGCTCCTTCTTGAGTCGGTCTAGTTCACCCGTATCTCCAGATGACTTGAGTTTATTTTCTGCATCTTGAAGTTTCTTCCTCAAATCTTCTAATGCTTGCCTCAATTTGTCAGCATCACCAATTTTATTTTCTGCATCCTGAAGTTTTCTCTTTAAATCATCCAGCTCTTTTCGCCTCAGTTCATCCAAATCACTATCTTTGGCATTCATTAGCTCCGCGAACTTTTTCTCAGCTTTCTCTTTTTCCTCCATTTGTTTTCTCAAGTCATCTTCGGCATTTTTTAATTTCCTCTTCAAATCATCCAACTCTTTTTGCCTCATCTGATCTAAATCACTATCTCCGGCATTTAATAGCTCTGCAATTTTGTTCTCAGCTTTCTTTCTTTCTTCGATCTCTCTGTTCAGATCATCTTCAGCATCTTTGAGTTTTTTTCTCAATTTTTCCAATTCATCCTGATCCATACCAACGTCAGTTTTCAATAATCCAGCATTCTCAGCTTTTTGCCTAGCCTCTCTTTCTTTCTTGAGGTTATCTTCAGCCTCTTGGAGCTTCTTCCTCAATTCATCAAGTTCCTTCTGCATCAGCTGGTCAATACCGCCACTATCCCCAGCTTTCAACAACTCTTCAATTTTATTCTCAGCCTCCTTAAGTTTCTTTTTCATTTCTTCCAGTTCGTTTGGATCTTGATGGTCACCTTCTGACAGTAATTGTTCTAGTTCTGCGATACGTTTTCTAATAACTTCATTCTCGGTTTCTAGTTTCTGCCTCAAATCCATCTCATTCTTCAGACGTTCCTCCAAGGTTTTGTTGGCAGCTAAGAGATCTCTGAGTTTTTCATCTTCAGGTATGTCTTCGGACAATTGCTTCTCAAGCATTGATATACGTTCTTGTAGCGCAGTTTTTTCTTTCAAACAGTCGTCCAGCTCTTTCCTCAATTCAGATAAAAATTCCTTATCTGTTTCTCCTTGTAGATTCTTTATCATCTTCATGAATTCGTCTTTTTCCAACTGCATATTTTTTAACAATTCATTCAACTTGGCGTTCTCTTCTTCAAGAAACGCGACACGTTCCTTAGCTTTCTTCAAGTGTTCTACGAGGTCTTCTATCTGGTCTTTAGCCACTTCTTGCACTTCTGAGGAATGCCTTCTCAATGCTTGGTTCTCAGCGGCAGTTCTGTCAGTAGCGGCAAGCTGATCTTGTAGCTTCAATATTGTCTCGTTAGCTTGAGCCAGCTCTTTTTCCAGAAATTCTATACGCTCTTCTAAGTGCTTACATTTGTCTTCATTAGAACGAGCGGTGTGCATTTCATCTTCAGTTTCTTCCTCTATTTTAGAGTCTTCAGGTTTTGGCTGTCTGCAAGACCATTTGGACGTGTCAAGTTCATATTCACTTGTGTCGTCTTTAGGTTCTGCTTTTACGGCGGTTTTACAACTCCACTTCGATACGTCGTATTCGTATTTACTGACGTCATCTCTGCCTATTTCAGGGGCATTGTAAATACCTGATGATTGGTCCTGCGATGTTTCATCTGTTTTTCCTTCAGTTGAGTCTGGGGTGAGTTTAGCCTTGCAGGACCATTTAGACGCATCAAATTCGTAGACAACTTTTTCCTTGTCCTCTTTCATTTTCTTTTCACAATCGCAAGGTCCATCAGATTGTGTTTGTTTGGATGCGTCTTGTCCTCTCAGAGCACTACAAATGTCAGGATAGCAATTTGTTCCAGTACTAACACACTCACACACCTCGCCGCTTTTCTTGTCATATTTCTCCACTCTTTTCATTGCTTGGCATTCACTTTTTTCAGCTGATCTACGAGATGTCTTGTCCTTTGGAAACTGAGTCCCTGCATTATCCATTCCTGTAGCTGTAACAGCTTTGTTGTCTTTAGCAACTCCATCGTCCTGAGTTGCAGTGTTATCCATCATTTTAACAGTTACACCTTTATCGCCCCCAATACGGTCTTGAGTTGAACTATCTCCCGAACATGCACAACCGCACGTACAAAGGCAGGTGCAACAAGTGCATTTCTTACTTCTCCGTGTGGATTGGTCGTTTTTCTTAATTTGCTTGAGCTTGTTCTTGACGCAGTCCCATTCTTCGTATTGCTTGCAAAGCTCCAGAGCTATCCTTTGAACGGCATGTTTGGATTGCCTCAGCAACTCATGCAGATGTTCATCGCCAGTAACACTCGTTTGTTGTTGTTGTTGGAGTTTGGCGGCTTCCAATTCGTATTTAGCGCTGTCATCTCGTGCGGTTTGCTTCAGCATCTCCAGATTCTTAAGCATCGGTTCGTGGTCTTTGAGGACGTCTTGCAGGGATTTAATGTAAGCTTCACGTTCCTCCAGTTTCTGGATGAGAAATTCATTGTCAGATGTTAGTTCCTTCATCTGTTCATCGAGGTCTTCCGCCTGTTTTTTCATATTGGCTATTTGGACTTTCATCAATGAATTTTCCTCGCTAGATGTTTTAGCTGTCATCTCCAGATTGCAAAGGCACGTTTCTAGATTGTTTCTTTCCTCTTCAGAATCTCGTTTTTCTCTTTGCAAATTAGATAGGCGATCCTCTAAGTTCTGCTTCTCATTCTCCAAAATTTTCTTCTCTCCTTTCAAGTTACACATACATTTCTCCAGGGAATCATTCTTACTCTTCAAATTCGTCGTTTCAGTGCTAAGACCCTGAATGGAAGTGATTAGTTCTTTTTGGACCATAGACAGTTTTTCTTCAGACGATTTTATAATATTATCCTTCTTTTCTAATTCTGCCCTCATGGTACACAGCACATCTTTCAATTTTTCCTGCTGTTCATCTCTTCCCTTAGCCAAGATATCGATATGACATACCAATCTTCTGATCTCGTTTTCCTGATCAGCAATACAGGTTTCTAAGTCCTCCACTTGGTTCTCTAAGGCATCTCTCTCTTTCTCGATACCCTTGGCCCTTTCTACTTGTGCCCTCAGTATGTCACACTCACATTCCAAGCCTACAAGATTTTCGTACTTGGATTTGTAAACGTCCTTTTCTTTCTTCAGCATATCCATGCATTTCATTTGGTTCTTCATGTGATCGAAGTTGTTTTGCATACGTACCAGTTCGTCAAGGTTCTTTTGGAGATCGTCTCTTTCTTGCTTGAGCCTCTCCTTATCCTTGCAAAGGCATTTCATGCTCTCCACTTCGTGTTCCAGACAAGCTATCTTCGATTTCAAGGTATCTCCTTCGGCTTTCTGATTGAGAGCTTCTATTTCCGCGAAGGAACACTTGCATCTCAGGTGCTCAAGTTCTTCGTCTTGGAATTTCTTGTCTTTGGACAACCTTTTTAGATTTTCTTCCAGTTCATCGACTCTGCTGGATTTTTTCCTGAGGTTATAGAGTTCCTCGTCCACACCACGAAGCTGCTCCACTCTCTTACTCAATCTGTCTCTATCTTGAAGCACTTCGTCAAGAAGCAAGGATCTCTGCTTGAATACCTCGATGTCTTCGGGTAGGTCCACGTAAGACAACAGCTCTTTTTCTAGCTTGTTGCATTTGCATTTCAGCTCATCTCGCTCTTTGACAGTGTCGTTGAACGTATCCAATTTATCTTTGAGATCTTCCAGTAGGTCATCTTCGCCAAGACAACCTAACTTGTTGAGCTTGTCTTCGTACTTCGCTATTTGGTTTTTCAACTGGTGATTTTCCTTTTGGATAACTGATAATTTGGAGCAATATTTTTTGAGTACCTCGACCTCTTTGCGGATGACTTTGGCTTCGAGGTTCGGGGTTAGCTTTCCACTTCTCATGTCGTTTATTTCATTTTCTAAGGCTGTGATTTCTTCTTCGCATGTGGTAAATTGAGAGCCACCGATTGATGTGGGCATAGAAGGCTGGGTTTCAGAAATCCCGAATGGATAACCCAAAGCGATATTTCTCTGCAAAAATACCTCATTGTACAGTTCAATCACAATGAATGAATTTGAAGATGAAGAAACAGAACAAAAATAACAGTAAAAGATTTGATGAATCCAGATAAAGTTACAGGTTCAAGAAGTTAGGTGATTGACTGACTAGAGGTTTTGCATAGATTTACATTTCACATTCATAATTTCAACAATCGGTGAGCAAATGTCCGAAATTCCATCTCGGATATCTCAGTATCCTTCGACCTACGAAATCCATATTGGCCATTGTATAATAAATCGAGGAAATCAATTAGATTAGAAATAATCAGAAGAACAGATAGTTATTGTAATTTTTCAAATCATTTCTCTACAATATGCTTTCAGTCTAGAATGATAGTGGTGTTTATATACTAACCTTGAGTTCTTCGAGTTCATCTTGTGAACTTTCTAGTTTCTTCCTCAAATCATCTCGTTCCTCAACGATATTTTTGATATTTTCCAGTTGTTCTAATGCCGCTGAGGCTATCTTGCGTTGTTCAGCACAATAAGATTCTTTAGCCTGTATGGAGGAATGTTATTCATTTTTATTTCATCGGAAAAAGAGTACAAGGGGAATTTACTTACAATACCAGCCTTGAAAATAGTTGTCATTTTGACATGAGGAAAATTTGTTTGACATTTTTCATGGATTGTCAGGTATAAAAATTACAATGTGTTCGCTTATAAAACGCCCACCCTATTTTTTTCCGAAAACAAATTATTCCCCGATGGAATAAAAAATACACCCTCATTCAATGATAATTATTATCGTTTCAAGTAGAAAATAATGATATTTTCATAAAATTATCTTCTGATAAATGATGTCTACGAATCAATTCATAATTTGCTATTTAAATTGCTAATCATCAGTTCAGACAAGTTTAACATATTTATCAAACTTACGGCTAAAGCATTCCTAAGAGCAATGATTTCAGCATCTTTATGTATAATCAACGTAGGTAAGTCTTCTTTAGAATCCTTCGGAGTGGCTGATATCATACGCCTCTCCAATTCGTCCTGGTTCCTGTCAAAATATTGTTTTTCCTCTGGATTTTGCCTCACACCAGATCTTCTACATGGACCTCTACATATATTCTTTTCAGGTTCAACAGTTGCACAAGTTCCTTTACAAACCATCTGCTTCGGTGCCATATTCTTCTTGCAACAGTCACATAACAATCCAGTTTTGGGGCACACAGTTTCTGTGCTTTTGGCAAGCTTCAGTTCATCTGTCTGTGAAACTGAATCTTTCTTCACGATACATGTTGTACTCCGCTTTTTTCCAAACAAACATGGGAAAAACCCTGTAGTTGCCGGTACAGGTGCAGGAATAAATTCAGGCATAACAGCACGTGGTACTGTTCTGAATGTTTCTGGTACTACTTGAGGCAAAACTGCCATCGGGACCTGTTGAGTACTTGGTAGAACCATTGGTAAAGGTAGCATACGACCATCCAGCATTCTATTGACTTCTCCAGGAGTAGGTACTTCTTCAACATCAACAACCCTGTCTGAAATATCTTCTATGATATTCGTACTTTCCACTGCTGTTGCTCTTGGTATAAAATCTTCAGTGATTACTTGAGATGGAATGTCTTGGACTATTGATTCATTCATTTGGAGCCCAGCTAATTCCAGTGGACTCTTCAGACTAAGGACTCTTGGTGTGTAGTTATCATCGGCCTTATAGTATAGCTCTACGATGTCGATAGCATCGTGATCATCTTCTTCTGATTTTCCATCTAATAAGGATTCTTCGAAGTCTTTCAGAGTTATTTCACAATTGTCTGGAGATGATAATGCATTGTATCCGATTATCAAGGGCGTCTCCTCAATTTGATCATCTGATTTTCCTGCCATAGTTTCACTTACTTCTGCAACTGATTCTTCAACGATATCTTCGATAATAACACTTTCATCAGAGTTTTGTGGTTCTTCTTCAATATTTTCCACTAGTACCTGTTCTATCGGAGTTTCTATTTCGATAATGATATTTTCAATATTTGATGATGTTTGCACTACTTCTGGTTGATCAGCAGCCATCGTTTCACTTGCAGTAACTTCTTCAACAATTAGCTGTTCGTCTTCTGGTGATAGCTCAACAACAGGAATCTCTTTTTCTGGTTCTAAAATTGCATTTGCTATGACTGATGGAAGATCTATTTCTTCTTCTGATCTTTTAATTTCAATCGGATCTGGAATTGACGCAGCTTGTTGACCTGGCGTTTCTTCGAATGTGTCTTCATCTTTCGTCGTGCTGGTGTCAATGGCCGACATAAATTCATCTATTTCTGGTATCTGTGCCACTGTGTCATCAGCATATATGGTCACAGCATGTTGGGAATGTTTTGATGTTGTTTGATCCACATCTTCATGTTGGGATTCGTCTTCCCCTGTTCCTACTGATATGGGTTGCCCAGTCACATCTTTCAGTTCACTGTTACCTATATCTTCATTTGCCAGTTTTTCAGAAACGAATGTTTCTTCTTTTACCGTAATGTAGTCTAATGAATCAATAACATCATCTAACTCAGCTCTCACTTCGCCTGAGATCGAGTCTATAATTTGTTCGTCTGATGTAACATCTCTGTCTAAATTGATGCCTCTTTCAAACAGCTTAATCACTGGTTCTTGCATAGATACATATTTAATTACTGTTTTTTCTATTACCGGTTCTACAACAGGAGTAGTAGGTTCAAGAATATTCGTTTCTTCAGATGGAGTGGGAGCTTCTTCACTTTCAGTCATTGTAGATTTGAATTCCGCTTGAGTTTGCTGAGTTTCTTCACTCCTCAGTCTCACTTCATCTTCAGGCAGCCTTCCACAAATTGCTCTGCATGGATGCGTTTCTTTTTCTATCGTGATTTTCTGTTCAGGAACTGTTATATCTAATTGCTGTTCAAGACTTGTTGGACGCATCGCACCACATATGTTCTCTTTCTTATCTTCCTTTTCTGGATGACTTTCATCTTCAGCTGATAAAGCTGGTACTGACTGTAGCTCAGTATCTCTCGGACTAATTTGTTGCCTTGTAATCATAGAATCTTTTTTGATATGCGTTTCTTCTTCTGGTAGTTTCGTGACAATAGGTTGAGATTCCTTCCTCTCACTCGATTTTTTCTGCAGCATTTTATCCGAAATTCTCTTTTGTAGTATTTCACCAGAAAGTGTTTTTGAGCCTGACAAAGCTACCGGAAATGTAGCTGTTCCAAATCCAGAAGCATCTCCTGATAAAACTCTGGATATTCTGCTTCCCATGAGAGCTTTGCCATCAAATGTATTATCATCTTCAGTTTGCTCGTCCAAATCAACTTCTTCCCATGCCAGTTCAAGCTTAGGAGTATACTTCTTTTCTTTCGATTTCTTGACATTTTCACCATCATTTTGTGTGTACCTGTCATTAACAAGGTTTTCGTCTCTAGGTGTTACAACTTCTGAAGATAAATCTGATGAGTAATCGATAAGAGGTTTCATCTCCTGTTCAGATATTTTCTTGAGCTGTCGTGAAATATGTTGTGTTGGTAATTCTCTTGGAGGTTTTTCTTCGCCTCGTCTAGAGCATATAGCTCGGCATACTTTCGATTGATCTTTCTTGGATGCTGCAGAGCTTACCGGTTCTGAGACAATCTCAGGAGATACCACATCTCTCTCATTCATACCTACTTCTTCTTGTCTGAGCATGACTGAGCCCAAGTCTTTTGGCGTTTTTTGTCCACTCACACGTTTTGTTACGAACTCTGGTGATACTACATGTCTCTCATTTAGACCTGCACCTAGTTCCTCTTCTCTGGGAACGACTGAACGCAAGTCATTTGACTCTTTATGTCCAGGTGAAAATCCAGGAGAAGTTTCACCAGCTGTTACATTGATGGGTTCGTCTTCATCCTTCCTTTCCCATTTTTTCTTTGATTGGTCGATTGTTTTAGAACAGAGAGCTCGACATTTTATTTTCTTCACCTGTTGTGATTCTCCATCAACTCTCTGTGAATCTGTATCAGCTCGATCTTTGGATATCTTTTTATCTGCATCTACTCCGTCCTGTTTACCTGTTGCCAAATCTCCCACAATATTTCCTTTCTTTTCATCATCTCGCGTTCGTTCTATAACTTTCTTCGAACTACCACCTACTGAATCATCATCGCAAAGTTGAAGATTTCTATCTTCCTTGGAGATACCCCCTGTAGATATCTCGCGTTGCCTCACCCAATCAGGAACCCTAGAAATTTGTTGTGGAGGTAATAGTTCTGGAAGAACTTCACCGGGCCAGTATCCTGTCGGTATCAAGTCCTGTTCCCCTCTTTTTACATTCGGTAAGGCGACAATCCCACCAGATCTTGAAGCCATTGCTGCACATCTCTCTTTGGCATGTCTGATCAGAGCAGCACATCTGTATTCGGGCTGTTGCACCTGAACGTCTCTTTGGGATTCTCTCTTTCGTTGCATGCGGCCTTCTTCATCTATCTTCAACTGTTCTGCTTTCCTCAGGTCATCAAGTTCGTCTCCGGGAATATCAACCACTCCTTCTGCTTCAATATGAGGCTTCACATCAGGAGGAATTTCACGCTCTTCATGTTTCATAGGAATTTGTTTTTCAATATCTTTTGATAACCTTGTTTCTTCAGGTTTGCGAGTTTTTCCTTCTTCAGTTGCCATGTATTTATCAGCCTCCAGAGATTCTTTAGCCCCTTCATCGCCCTTTTCTTCTCCAGATATTTCTGTATCTTCGAATGACTCCTTCCCATCTGTCTTCACTTGAATAGGTTCTTCACTTTTAGCAGGTTTTTCTTCACCTCTTGCTAATTTTCGGTCTTGCTTTTCTTTTCCTTTTCTTGCTTCAGAAGGTTTTGCGACTCTCGATGCCACAGTACGTTCAAGTCCTCCCTCTAATTCTTCATCGGGGATTTTTTTAAACTCTTCCGGTGCTTCGAATTCCATTTCTTCGTCCGTTTCATCATAAGGTACCAACTTTTTATCTATTCCAGGTTCTTCGCCTCCTTCAGCTATAGATTTATGTTCTGAAATTCTTGTCGGTGGTATCTTGAATTCTATTTTCCTGAAGATATTCCCATCCGAGTCATCTGCTATTCTTTTTTTCTCCTTCTCTTCTTCTTCTGTCATTTGGATGCCCTCTGGAATGCCTGCCGTTTCATCTACTATATCATTACTATCTTCGATTAAAACTTGTGGTGATTCTTCTGCCACTTTGGGTTCGTCTGGGAACTTTTCTCTTTTTGGACTCTCTTTGTATTTATATGATGTTTCTTGGATTTCATCTGGTTTCATATCACCACTCAGAATTTTCTCTTCTGACATAACTTCAGCCTCAGTGATTGTTTCAGGTTTTTCTTCAGTTTTTCTTGTCAATTTTTGTTCTTCAGGAATAACATCCGCCTCGATGATCGTCCCAGGTTCAATCATTCTAGGCAACTTGTGTTCTTGAGGTTCTTTTTCAGATCGTTTTGGCATTTTTTCTTCTTCTGGAATAACTTCAGGCTCTACAACTGTGTCATATTTTTTTTCGAGTTTTTCTTTCAAATCTCTTTCTTCAGGAATAGGCTCCATAATTGTTGTAGGTTTTTCTTCAGTTTTTCTTTTCAATTTCTGTTCTTCAGCGATAACTTCAGGCTCCATAATTGTTTCATGTACTCTTTCAGTTTTTCTTGGCAATTTTTTTCCTTCACGCACAATTTCAGGTTCAACAACTGCTGCAGGTTCTTTTTCAGTTTGTTTTGTCAGTTTGGTGTCTTTCGCAATAACTTTAGGCTCCATCATTGTTGCAGGTTCTTCTTCGCTTTTTCGTTTCATTTCTTGTTCTTCGGAGATAGGCTCCATAATTGCTGCAGGTTTTTCTTCAGTTTTTCCCTTCAATTTTTGTTCTTCAAGAATAGCTTCAGGTTTCATGATTGTTGCGGGTTGTTTCACAGTTTTTCTCTTCAACTTCTGTTCTTCAGAGATAACCTCAGGCTTTATCATTGTTGTGGGTTCTTCTTCAGTTTTTCCTTTGAATTTCCGTTCTTCAGGAATAGTTTCAGCCAGTTTTTCTTGCATTTCGCGTTTCTCGGATATTTCTTCAGCATGCTCAATTGTTTCAGGTAGTATTTCTTCAACTATCGGTATTTCGATACCTTCGAAAGACTGTTTGACTTCAATAATAGGTATTCTATCATCTTGACCCAGATCGATTTCCATCTGTTCTGGCTTCTTTGGCTCTCCCGTTTTCGATGCATTTGTTTTGGCTCTGTCATCGACCATTTCTTGTTTTGGGGATTCTGATTTCTCACCTGTGAGTTTTTTTATTTCTTTTGTTTTAGGTTTTTCAGGTTCAACTATTTTGGACACTTCATCAGCAGGGGTTTTGAATACCTTTTCCTTAGCTTCTGGTGTCTCACTTTTTTCTGTTGTCCTCTTTTTATCAATAGCTTCATCAGCAGGGGTTTTGAACACCTTTCCCTTAGCTTCTGGCGTCTCACTTTTTTTCGTTGTCTTCTTTGAATCAATAGCTTTATCAGCGGGAGTTTTGAATACTTTATCCTCAGCTTCTGGTGTCTCACTTTCTTCTGTTATCTTCTTTGTAACAATAGCGTCATCAGCAGGGGTTTTCAATACTTTTTTTTCAGCTTCTGGTGTCTTACTTTTTTCTGTTTTATTCTTAAGATCAATAGCTTCGATAGGTTTCTCCTTTTCTTGAAGTTCATGAGTTTTAGGGTTGATGGAGGGTCCTTCTTTGATATCTTCTGGCAATTTCTTCATTTCAAGTGGTTTTCTTTTGTCTTTTTCTGATTCGATTGGTTCATCTTCAGAAGGTTTTTGTTTCCTAGGTACTTCTTTGTCTACTTTAGGACTCTCATGTGGTTCTGGTGTCAGTTGTTTGGTTTTTCTCATTTCTTCTGGTTTTTCATCTTCAACAGGTTGTTTTTCTTTTTTTCGTTGATCCGATTCTGCACTACTGACTTTGGGTGTAACATTTTCTTGGATCTCAGGTACTTTGGTCAGTTTCTTGGTCATTGGTTTAGTATTTGCTCCATCACTTTCTTTTATTGGTTCTTCTTGTCGTTTTTTCTTCTCTAATTTAGATTCTTTCGCTGGATTCTTAGAGTCAATCATTTCTTCTGGAATTTTGTTCACTTCTTTCGATTCCAATTCGTCTAGTGGCTTCTTCTTCTCAAGTTTTTTACCCGATTTTTGCTCTGTGGGTGATTTAGATACTTCCTTAGAAGTTTCGTCGCCAGTTTTAGGTCCTTTTTTATTAAGGTCAACCGTCTCAGTAATTTTTTTCTCAGGTTTCAATTCCGTAGTGTCATAAGATGGTTCAGATAATTCTTTTGTTTTAGTTGGTTTCACTTCAGGAATTTGCCCTTTTCCTGAATCCAATTTATCTCTATTCGTTCCACCAACTTTATTCTCTTCATCTTTAGGAACAGTGGACTTGGGGCTATCTTTCTTCTTATCTTCCTCATGCTCTTTTGGAGAACTTTTCGTCAAAGGTGTTTTATCACCATATTCCCTTCTCTTCTCGGCTGTTATTTTTTCTTGGACCGGTATTTTTTCGTGAACTTGCTCATCGTCACCTTGTTTCTTTTTCTTTGGTTGTTGTTCTGCTGTTTTCACAATTTCAACTGGCCTTTCACTAATTTGTGATATCTCCTTCTCCACTGTCTTAGCTTCTTTAGGAGTTGCCGATTTTCCGTCTACCACAATTTTCTTTGGTTGCTGTTCTGCAGTTCTCACAGTTTCAACTGGTCTCTCATCAATTTGTGGAATCTTCTTTTCCCCTGTCATAGCTTTTTGAGGGGTTGCTGATTTTCCGGCTACATTCTGTTTGGGTTGTTGTTCTGCAGTTTCCACAGTTTCAACTGGTGTTTCACCAATTTGTGGATTCTCCCTTTTCACCGTCTTAGCTTTCTGAGGGGTTCCTGATTCTTCGTCTACTATATTTTTCTTTTCTGATTTTCCGACAACTGACTTATCAGCCTGAGGTTTTTCTTTTTCAGTTTTCTCAACAGGTTTTTTTTCACCTTTGTCTAGTGGTTTATCCTCTGGAATATCTTTCTCGACTGGCTTTTTGCCTTCTATAATCTTTTCTTCCTTCGGTGTAGTTGATTTTGGTTTAGCCTTCGTAGACTTTGGAGGGATATCTTTAGCATTTTCTGGTTTTGCTTTGCTGGATTTTTCTTGAACAGGAGTTTTCCCATCAGTTGATGCTGAAACTTGTCTCCTTAGCTTCCTTTCAGATTCAGGAAATGTTTTATCACGTTTTGGCGGAGTTTCTGCTGCTTCTGCCAGATTTTTCTTCGGTTTGCTTTCGATAGATTTTTTGGTAGTATCTACTCCAGGAACATTTTTGGGTTTTAATCGTTTATTATCTTTAGATGCTTCTTCACCTACACCAACTCGTTTCGGTGACTCTCCCTCAGTATCCATTGAATTATCACCACCAATCAGTGGCTCTTCTCCTTTCTTCATTACCGGTGATTTAGGAACCTTCCTTTTCCCTTTGGTAATTTCTCCACTGCCTTCGGGTTCCACCTTCATGGGCGACTTTGGTCGTGGTATTCTGACGTCAGTTTTTTCTTTACGATCAGGAATTGTTTTTGTTCCTCTACTTTTTTCCGGATGGAGCTCATACTCGGTATCGCTCATCGGTTGTTTCTTTTGTATTACAACTGGACTTGGCCTCATTTCTTTTTGGAAAGCTGGTTCCTGAATGGGACGTGGTTCCTCGGATGGTTCCGACACAGATTTTTTCGTAGCACCTGTTGCATCCTTGTCTTCCACAGCAGTAGCACTTGTGTCCTTCTTCCTTCTAGAAGAATCTCCAATAGATGTAGGAACTGCCTTTCTTTTTATTGGTTTGTCCTTTTTTGACACTTCTCCAACCAAATCAGTTGGTTTCTCGGGAAGACTTCCGCCTTTCTTTTCATCCAGGGACTTTTTCTTTCCCTTATATTTTTTAGGAGCAGGAATTTCTTCGTCGCCAGATGTTTCTGGAATTTCTTTAGATGGAACTCTTGCTTTCTTCTTCCGTTGTGCCCTTTTCGTTGAATCTGCACCTTCAGATTCTCCTCTCTGAGAAGGCCTCTTAAAAAAAATATGACCATGGTTGTGATATTGATTCCTACAGGGTACTTACTTTCTTGTCCCTTTTCTTCGGTTTCCCACCAGGATATTCATCGCTTCTTCTTTTCCGTCTATCGTACACAGTCTCTAACTTATCACGTTCACTCTTCAGTGAATCAAGCTCAGCGTTAGCTTCTTCAATATTTTTTTTCTAGAAAGATATAAAGTATTATGGAAGCTCAGATCGAAAAAAAATCACATCCAATCGAGAAATTTATTGGTAAAGATACAAAAGATGCATGAACATTTCATAATGAGTTTTCATATTGATCTAACTCATTTTCCTTTACCAATTCGTCCAATTTTTTCATCTGTTCTGGAGTCAAATCTAGCTGTGAGTATATATCCAGCAGCTTCTCCAGATACTCGATTCGTTTTTCCAGTTTTTTTATTCTTGAATTTTTTTGGGCCATCATAGCATCTATCAATATGTCCAAAGGTATCATTTTATCAGGACACGTTCCCTGAAATTTTCAGTCAACGGAGCCTTATGGGACATGTAATCATGAGTTACTTACTCTCTCATTTTTGGCCATGTACTCGAGAATATGTTGTCTTCTTTCTTCCACTGTATCGCTCCATGCTCGTATATCTTGAGCAGAAGGGTAGTTTTTCATGCGCCCTTCTGATCTTATGTGAACGACTTCTTCTACAGGGCCCTTATCGAATGCCCTAGTCCTTTTATTGATGTACGACATGCTTGTGGATCTGAAGAAACTAACGAAATATGGTTGTGGTGGATTGAATCCTACATCGATGAATTTTTGACTTTGTCAGCGAAAGTACGACAGTGACAGTATGATTTATTTGTCATGTAATGTCATCCAAAGTTCATCAAAATTCACATCAACTTCAATCCTGATCAGTATGATAATATTTGTATACTTTTTGTTCAAGACATTCCCCATGAAAAACTGAACTAAGTTTGCTCAATAATATTCCACCATGACTTTTGTTAACAGAAAAACTCGCCTGTTTATGGATAGGGGTGACTTGAAACCCGAAAGAAGACGTTCTGAGTCCAGACTGAAGACCTATCCATCTGCTATAGATGTAAGAGCTTGGTGTGATACTGTCGAAGACAGAAGACAGCATATATTAGAACTCGTCACCAAAGAGAGAGAAAAAGTATGTATCTTCCAAAACAGACAGCAGGAACATCCAACAGGCTAATTAATTTTGTTCTAGTGTTTAGGAAAGATTATACCTTTAGATGTCATCATCGATTCACTTATGGCTTCAAAAAATGCAGACCTAAAGGAAATGAAAGATGCTTTAGCTGAACTATATGCATTTCTAGACCAATGTGACCTAAGTGATGAAGATAAGAAGAAATTGGCCATACTGGTATAAAATAATAACATGTTTTCTGAGTTAAATGTAGCTCATATTTTATTTCTAGAAAAGTCGCCTTGGAAAAATGGCCTCACCAGACGACTCCACCCAAGTAAGATATTAGTCGACCTCATGATCATAATCATTTGCTACAAGATCATTGATTTTTTCAGGGATATCTTGCTACGAAACAAGAAATGGTAAGTTCTTTCAATAAATCATTACTCGATGGACTCAATTGATTTTTTTAGACATTAGGGCCACAATTACATGATAAACTTGCTCAATCGTCATCTGGTACTGATGGACTAGGAAGCCTACGTTCTTATACTGTCCGATCAAAAGGTCCAGCCCGTATGGTCACCAAACTCAAAGGCATTCAGCCAGGAACCCAAGTTCCAGTTAGTGGTATATCCAGTAAGACTCCCGGACCAGCCACATTCAAGATCGAGATAAAAAATGGTCCTCCTGGTTCTCAAACTGTTCAAGATGATTCCGGAGTTGATGCTGATTGTACCCCAGATGGTGTTTGCGAGAGAAGAATGGTGAAGAGAGAAATAGGCGAAGCTTCTGATTTAGAAGGAGCTGACCTCATGGATGAGGTTCTCAAGTTACAAGATGAGTTAGCAGTAAGTTAATGCTCGTGTCTGGCAAACCTCAGTCTATTGAAATTTTGTAGGCAAGAGATGCTCTTTGCGAAGAACAACAAAGCAGCATTGATGCCTTGAGAAATGAACGTGACAAACTGAACAATCGTATTGAAGATTGTTTAGCAGAACTGGAGGGTTTGAGGGTGAGTACCTAGTGAGAGTTTCACAAATTCTACTGTTTAAATTTTACAGAAACTGAACAACGTTGCTGATACGGGCATACCAACCTCTTGCAAAGAAGAAATAGAAGCGTTAGAACAAGAAATGCAAATTATGAGGAGTGGTAATCTCTCCCCAGAGCAAGAAGCAGAAGTTATTAAAAAAGAAGTCGACGTTCTCAAGAAATACTGCATGAAACTAAAAGCTATCGAAGAAGATAACGAAAGACTGAAATCAGAAAGAGCCAACTTGCCTGACGGTGATAAAATGGCGCCTCTAGATGCCGAAAAAATTAAGGAATTAGAGGCTGAACGAGATGATATGGCGAATAAAGTAGAAAAGCTGCAGAAGGAGCTACTGCAGTATAGAGACCTGCCAGAAGACTTCGAGATCTACAAGAACCGTTCAGACATGCTAGACAACGCCCTAGCAGAACGCGACCAGATGCAATTCAAGATAGAAAAGATGAAAGAAATGGAAAAGGAGCTAGAAGAACTGAAGGCCAAGGCTGATAGAGCAGACGAGCTAGAAAAAACGTTAAAGTACTACAGCAAAACAGACAAGACTTCCGACTTCGAAATGAAACGAACCCAGTCCAAATGCCTCTGCCTAGAGAAAGAACTGCAGAACTCCAAGTGTGAGAAGGACGCTATGTGCAAGCGCATAGAGCTCATGAAGAACGAACTAGACAGCCTCAGGTGCAAGGCTACCGAAGCAGAGATGCTCAGGCTCGAACGCGATAGGCTACAAATCAAGCTCAACGAGCTGTCTCACGTCCAGGTCCACAATGAAAACCTCATGTTGAAGTGTAAATGTCTAGAAAGCGCCGTGATGGAGAGAGACGCCTACAAACAAAAGTACGAAGAAGTGTTGGGCATGGAGTGCCAGTGTGAAATGATGCGAGAGCAAGTCGACGCTAGCAACAAGTTGAGGAGGGAGAAAGACGCCCTGGCCAATCAGGTAATGGATCTGCAGGCTTGCATCATCGACCAGGAGGATGAAATCAAGAGGATGATCGCACAGATAGACAACCTGATGAGGAACAAGGATGAAACACAGGTAGGCCGTTCATCTAATTGATCATTCCTAGTTAACACAAACTCGTTAATAGCACATCGAATAACGGTTGGAATCGTAGAAATAACGTTTCTGGCTTAAAACTTCAACGTTTAAATTTGGTTGAAGATAACCGAGAAATAAACAGGTTATTTTGAAGTTTAATTCCCATTACTTTGTGTTCATCAATCACCACTATTAAACGTTGAAACAAAATGTTGATACTTGCAAGCAATAACACGTCATGCGATCCCAATGAAACGACACATTCACAACGTACGGTAGAATAATTGCTAGAAATAGCCTGTATACAGTGTGTCCCTCCGGGAACTGCATCGATCAATATATAGAAAACCATAGGTGGGCCGAGTTTGAAAATTTGGGAGTTCAATACTGTTGATAAGTGCTATCCGGCTAAAATATTTTGAAGATTGTGGCACTTCCGGTTGTACCGGAAGTGGACCCTAACTTCGTTATTTTGAATGGGACACCCTGTATATTATCAAGGTTTTAGATTTTACGCATGATTCTGAACATGTTTCATGGATAATGTCCTATACCCAAGTCTCACCGTTTTCGAAATATTTGAAATTTCAAGTTGGAAATTGCGTATGCAGACCGAAAAATATTTTTTTTTCATTTCTGGACATAATCATTTATTTTCGATTGTGTATCGATTTATTCATAGGAGAGGAGCCAGTTCAGTATAATTTCGATATCAATTCGATTACATTTATACAGGGCGTTCACCAGAAAATGATATAGATCCGGTTGAAAAAATTATTGTAAGTCAATTTTTTCAAATGGAAACCCCCCAATTTTATATTCTCATTCGATTCGGCATCGAAAATGAAGCTAACTTTGAACAAGTTCATCTATGCCTACACTCAACAGTTTTCGAAATATTGGCGAATTATCTTGTCTCAGTTCCAGAAAATCTCGTATTCTTGAGTTTTCTGTAAATGTCCTACATCTACTTGATGGAAAATAATCTATTCCATTATTTCTTTGATACTTTCAAATGACTGAAGGCGCCAGTTTTCAAATTTCAGTAAATTTTGAAATTTGGTTCCTTATTCAAGTATATTTTATGTTCGATACCTTACATTATACTGCATGGCATTATACAGGGTGTTTCCTAATTGAATGTCAATATTTGAGGGGGCCCATTTCGAGAAGAAATTTTCATATGAACGTATTACCTTAACGTCTTAACTTTTGAGGTACAGGGTGATAAAGTTCTCAAAAATAAATAGTTTTTTATTAATATCTGTAATACCACTTTAAATATTCTAATGAAATTTGGTATACGTGTACTAGGTATCAAGAGGCATCAGTTAGTGTACCACATTTTTTTTTGTTGCCACCAGTGGCGTTCGTATGGAATTTCACATACCTATTTTGGCAGACATTGATGGTACGCCACTGATTAATCTCGAAATTGAAATAATTCTTGAGATTCTCAATCATTTCTAAGCAAATTTGATCTCTACAATTTTTTCAATCTGATGCAGGGTTTTCGCTTAAAAAAAATAAAAACCTTTTCACTGCATGATCATAACAATATCGTTAATATGACAATACCACAATGCAGAGAAATAGATTTTATTTTTTAGGTGAAAACCGTGATTCGGACCGAAACAATTCAAGAGATCAAATCTGCTCATTATTTTAAGAAAAGTCGATGGCATGCCACTTACTGTCTAAGTACAGATAATAGGTTAATTGGGTGGCCACTGGTTAATTTCAATAATTTGTTTTTGTGAAAGATGTCAAGAAAATATCTAGTCTTTAGTCACCAATTAGTGACCACAACCACACTATGTACCTAAATGATTTTGTTAGAAGACTGTTCTTTTCTTTTACACATTTAATGGAATAACATAACATTCTTCAACAACAAAAGATAACTAATAAACGATTCTTATTTAAAAACAATACCTACTATTAATAATTTTAACAAAATTATAGAACATAGAAACTAGATGAGTTGTTGAAAATGGCCTCCACCTTGAAGGATACACGCTTCAGCTCTTTTCCTCATATTGTCACGCACTCTTTGAAGTATACCTCCAGTATTTCTTATTAAATCGAATGCAGCTCTTATACGATCCTTCAGCTCTTCTAGAGTGTTCACTGGGTTGCGATAAACCAGACTTTTAAGATGCCCCCATAAGAAAAAGTCCAAACTATTCAAATCTGGGGACCTAGGGGGCCATGGTTGAGGTCCGCCACGACCTACCCATCGATTTTCAAATGTGTGATTTAAATATTCCCTTGCTGCAACACTGAAGTGAGCGGGCGCGCCGTCATGCATGAACCACATTCTGTTTCTAATTAAAACTGGTACTTCTTCTAGCAATATGAACAATTCCTCCTCTAGAAACCGGCGATAATTATGGCCGTTTAGCCTTTCTGGCAAGAAAAAAGGTCCAATTAAGTAATTTCCAACAATTGCAGCCCAGACATTCACCGAAAATTGTTCTTGATGGTTGAATTCTACAACTGCGTGAGGGTTTTCGTCTGCCCAAATATGGTTATTGTGAAAATTTCTGATTGCGTTTCTGGAAAAGTTAGCTTCATCTGTAAACATTATTTCACGGTCAAACAAGGGATTATGAGCAATTTTCTCCAGAAACCATTGACAAAAATTAACACGCAAGGGAAAGTCTCGGGGAAGTAACGCTTGGACCCGTTGAATATGGTATGGGTATAATAGAAAATCGTGCAAAATTCTCCAAACTAGGACGTGCGAGATATTCAGATTATTTCCAATTTTTCTAGTACTCAGTTCAGGATTTTCTTCAATGGAATTTAAAACTGCTTCTTCAATTTCTGGAGTTCTTACAGTGCAATGGGCTCCTTTTAATTGATTATTCGCCTGCAAAGTACCTGTTTCAGTCAACCTCCTATGTACATTTGCAAATGTTCGCCTATCTGGTATTACTCTATTAGGGAACCGCTCTCGATACAATCGCTTAGCTTCCGGCGATCTGCCATCAGCCAAACCATACATGTAATGCATATCTGCCAACTCCTCATTTGTAAACTCGACCATTATTTTTCAAAATAACAATGCTCGAATATTTTAAACACTAAATTAATAAGACGCGAAAAACTGAATTTGAAAATTGACGAACTGTCATACAAAATAATGACAACTGTCTTGACCATAGAATTAATAATTCTTACAGACACAGCCTACTACAATGAAAAGTAATAATTTCAAAATACCAAGTACGAATACGAAGTTCATAAACTATGAATTGTATTTCTGAAATTTGACCTAAAAAATAAAATCTATTTCTCTGCATTGTGATATTGTCATATTAAGGATATTGTTATGATCATGCAGTGAAAAGGTTTTTATTTTTTTTAAGCGAAAACCCTGCATCAGATTGAAAAAATTGTAGAGATCAAATTTGCTTAGAAATGATTGAGAATCTCAAGAATTATTTCAATTTCGAGATTAATCAGTGGCGTACCATCAATGTCTGCCAAAATAGGTATGTGAAATTCCATACGAACGCCACTGGTGGCAACAAGAAAAAATGTGGTACACTAACTGATGCCTCTTGATACCTAGTACACGTATACCAAATTTCATTAGAATATTTAAAGTGGTATTACAGATATTAATAAAAAACTATTTATTTTTGAGAACTTTACCACCCTGTATCTCAAAAGTTAAGACGTTTAGGTCATACGTTCATATGAAATTTTCTTCTTAAAATGGGCCCAAGAATCGCCTCCTCAAATATTGACATTCAATTAGGAAACACCCTGTATATCAAACATTTAAACATAATTTTTTCAATCATCAGTATACTGATCTCATTCGTTATGTGTGTGATTGATCCCTACAGGAAGATTCATTGTGAAATCGTTTTTTGAAGAAAATCAAGGGTGTGTTCCCATGAAAACTTTGTTTCATATTGACTCAGGACGATTAGACTTTGAATAATTAGTGTCTAATATCCGTATATTATGATTTATTATATGATTTATTATTCATGTTCACTTCTACTCATGTTTGTATAGTAGATCTTAGATATTCATTACTAATTATTTTATAATTATGTTCTTCCTCATACCAGAACTTGTTCTGACTGGAAGATTTATGTTCGATTAATGAATAAATAATAATACGTTCAAGTCAAAAAAAAAGTATGGTATGATTTCAGGGTAGAATGAAGGACGCATTGGCGAACATGAGAGCTGAAGTGGAGAAGAAAGACCAGCTGATAGCAGCATCCGAAGAAAAGTTGGCAGCGGTTCAGGCACAGCTCAAGAGCTCCATACAGGGCGTTTCGTGCGAAACGACATGTTATAAAACTAGAATCGACGAAATGGAGAGAGAATTGTGTGGAGCCAGATGTAAGATAAGAAAGCTAGAGAGAGAATTAAAGGAGAAGGAGGAAACAATGAAAGCCGCTAAACAAATGAACAAATGCGAGTATGAGTCGGTGGGAAAGATGAGGAGAAAACTGGAAACTGCCGAAGCAGAAAATAAACAGCTGCAGGAGATTGTCAACAAAATGGTTTCCTGGACAGGTAATAAATTTTCACAGGAACAACAAAATTTTCAACAGCGCACTTGAATATGTTTCATTATGTAAACTTTGAACTCGTCTCAAGGACAAACGGTTTATTTTTCTATGTAAATAAGTTGGGTCCAATCAACTTATATTGAACTGTATTACACGTGATAGCACTGTGTCCCAGCAATTTTGGGACACCCTGTATAGCCCATGATTGATAAACTGACCCTAAAGTATCTGATTATCCTGACACAACTGTGAAACTTATCAGCTGCACCAACAATGTACCTAAAAGAAGACTTATAGTGTTTCCATTCCATTCTAAAAAAAATGACGGTTATATGCTGAGCGTATATTCAATTTCTCAGAAAAAAAATATCTCCCATTGTTGCTATATTATACAAGTTGAGGTCTTTTATACCTCTTAAATACTTGAGATTAATTTATTTCAGTTTGATTTACTCTAAATTGCAGTATCTGACATCGATCTGGGGTACTGCAGCAAAATCTGTTTTGAAACCTCTGAAATCTCTTCAAAATAAAGCCATGAAATGTATTTATAAACTACCATTTCTGGAATCAACATCTACAATATACAAACCAAGAGATCTACTAGATTTTGACTCTCTCTTCAAAATGAAAGTATGCATTTTCATTCATTTCACTAAATTTTTGTGGAATAAATATTTATAATAGTCTACCCAACAGAATAAAATCTATTGAATTCGTCACAAAATTCAAGTGTGAACTGAAGAAATATATTTTATCAATTTAACTCTCTCCTTGTATCAATTAATTCTGATTGAACTGTTTATCTTTTATTGTATTGCATATTTGATTTTATTTGATTTTTTTTCGTTTCCCTCTATAAACATTGTATGTTTCTTGGGATCAATAAATGTTATTATTATTATTCAACAAATTGGAAAACGTTATTAGCAGATGAGGGGTCACATGAGCCAGACTGAGACATTGCACAATTGCGCAAGCGCTCCATAAGCTGTCTTTTTATAGGTGACGAGCACTCTCAAAAAATGCTGAAACAATCCAATTGCGCAGTAAGACGAGTAATCGAAGAACTCGGAAAGCAGTATAAAGAATGGGACCATATGCGTCACACCAAAGGTCCGAAATGCAAGAAGCCCAAATGCGCATGCGTACATCCTTCCGACCAATCGGATTCCGAACTCAATGACGACAAGTTGAACGAGGAACTAAGGGATATCCAGAGGGAAAAGAATAAGCTGGAGAGTTTTGTCAAGCAGATACAGACGGGGGATGGACCACAAGAGTGTGAGAGGGTCAAGGCAGAGAATCAAAGGCTGCAAGAACAGTTGAGGGAGGAAGTTTGTAAGAGAATAGCTCTCGAGGAAAAACTCAATAAAATTTAGTTCAAGGACATGTTTTTATTCCAGCGCGAGGCCTTCACTGAATCACTATTCAGTTTCTTCGCAGTGGGGGGATACTTGAAACTGCGGGGTAAATTGGAACAAAACTTCATATTTTCAAATGACTCCCTAAAATCTAAATCTGATTTCATTTTGAAAGTCGTATCGTGCATAGTTGTTCAGTATGGGTAAATACTAGTCGATTGAGAATTAATGGAGTATAAATATTGTTTAAAGAATGTTGTTCATCATATTGAAACTATAAGCAGAAATATTACAAAAAAATAGCGAAGCAGGTTTTTCGAAAGAATAGAAACGTATGTTTTAAGTTTTGGTGACGTAAAATTTGAAATTTCGGTGGCGGAGAATCATTCACCATTTTAATCAGAAAAAAAATCGCTGATCCTGAATATCTTAATCAGGATGATGAAACAAAACTATTGAATAATGCTATGTCATCAGCTCTCGATTAGTTTTACCAAGCTAATAAAAACATGGTAAAAATGGCATGCACGAGTGTGAAAAGTACAGGTACAGAAGAAAAAGATCTTTCACAACAATTAACAATATACAGGGTTTTCCATTAAAAAAAAATGATTTGGACTCTTTCTTTCTATTTTGTGATTCGGATTTGTTTATTCAAGCAGTGCCAAAAGATAGTAGAGATTAAACCCTAAAACTTTTATGTTCGAAGTTTTTCCCTACGTCAAAATATATAAGGAGGCAGCGTACTCTGCTTCAAATTACTAAGTATAGATCCAGTTTCATGTGATGCTATAGTAATTTTTTCAATTCGTTTTATAAATGCACAGTAGAGAAAAACTACATTCTGATATAAATGATGTGATACCAAAATTGAAATCAAAATGTCTGGATATTGACCAAGAATTTCAAAACTCTATAAACGATCATGTCGAATTTGTCATGCAGGTTGAAGGGCAATTCCCTTTGGAGCGCAGAATACACACCTATAGGTAACAAAATACCCATTATCTCTTCCTTACTATACAGGGTGTCCTAAAACTCATCGTCATCCTTTGGAGGGCTGATAGTCCAGCTCATGACTGACCAGAATATGACAATATGACCTTAGTAAAATATTGAAAGTTTTAGAGATATTGTCACTTTTGAGAATTTCGTGAAAATAGAAACCTTATAAAATACAGGGTGCTCCATTTAAAATAACGAAGTTGCTAGTTGTTTCTGATAGAAGTGGCAACACTGTATCGACGACAACATTTTAGACGAATAGAGAATGTTCAATTTTCAAAGCATCCCAATTTGCAGAATGTTCTGTCTTTTCGTTCTCCAGATACTTCTAATAGGTCATCCCCTGTGACCCACCCTGTATAAAGTAGGAAGAGGCATTATTCCTAAATTTTTGAATATAGGACATGTGTCTTCATGATCTGCATTAATAATTATCCTAACTGCTTTTTTTCAAGCTTGAAAACTCTATCAGAAGATGAGGAGTTTCCCCACAAAACAAAACCATACCTAAGATGCGAATTGAAGAATGCGTAATATGCTGTCAAGAGAATCTCTACTATAAACGAAATCAATTTTGGATTGTAATCAATAGAAGGGTTATCACAGATTGCATAACAAAAATTAGAATCTTGAACTATGAGATACTAATCAAAAGGTTCTGATTTCACGAAATTCATAAAAGTGGCAATATCTCCAGAACTATCAATATTTTACTAAGGTCATATCGTGATATTCTGGTGAGTCATGAGCTGGACTATCAGCCCTCCAAAGGATGACGCTGAGTTTTGGGACACCCTATACTGAATATCCAGATCGATACCTAGCGCATGCCTCCGTTTCAGCGTTTCAGGAATCAGGAACCGAACGCTGAAACTTCAGTGCGATGTGACCGCTTCCGACTTGGTTTTTCTTCCTTTTTCCTATACTTATAGTCTAAACTATTCCCTTTATTCTCACTTTTTGTGATTTCCAAGGTGTGTCCTACTCTTTCGAATACAAATAGATAAAATGTCTGTTAGGAAAGTAGTGAAATCGGTGTTTAAATATTTCCATAGGTTAGGGAAGAATAGGAGTAATACTATTCAGTATATAAATATATGAGTTTGTGTTTGTTGCTGTTTTTTTTGTACAATTGATATTGTTGGCATCAAATCTTGAGTGAAGTCTCTATAACTTTTTCTTCTCAATGGATATCAGGAAGGTAAGTCAATGAAACGAACGTTATCCGTGAACTGATGTATTTTTGCTACTTCTTGGTTCAATATTTCTTATAATAACACATTACTTATTCAGACAATCTGAACAAACATCGAATAAGCATTGAATTAAATAATCAATTCTTATCATTTTTAACAAAAATAGTGTAAGTGAATGACCTAGTCAGCAACTGAGAATCACATATTTGTTCATTATGTATTATGAAGCGCTAGGCTCCGTTTTTTCGAACATCCAGAATAAAATATTCTCATGATTTTTATAAATCATGTTGGGGTTGAAAAGTTTTACTCATCTCTGAACACTCTGTATCAGAGCAGTTCAAGGTGTTGAATAATCACGATGTTTTGCTGATTCTTTTTTAATTGGACAAATCCATTAATAATTGACGAAGAATATCAATCTAGTAGATGATGTTTCTGTTTTTTCCCAGTGAAGAAAGAACTCTCCGAATGAGCGACGAAATAAAACATACAGGAAAATATCTAGGTGAGTTGTTTACTTTGTGTTCAAACAAATTTCCATCAAATTAATAAAACGTTTGCTTATTCATTGTGACAAGTGTTTGCATATCTTATTACTTTTATTAGAGTTTTTACTATTATTACCGTCACGTTTGACCCGAAAGTGAGCAATGCAAAACTGAAAATTATTGGTGTGGCATTGCCATTGACGTTTAATATCCTCGGACAAGGACAAATCCAAAGCATTTGAAGAATCTTCAATTACAGCTCGAAAAAGTGAACGAAATCGTTATATAAGGCGTCGTTCTATTATACAGGTTGTATCTAAATAACATCGAAAAAATTCAGGGTATTACTTCATATTTCCATGAAAAATCTTTTTTTTTATTCATTTCTCAATTGTCTTTTCATAAATTTCAATGAAACTGTGGTTTTGTTAATAGTAATATGGAGCTTCTTGTAGTGCAATTAGTTTCGAAATAATATTGCCAGTGGCGTCACAGTGAATGTCATTGTTCACCACCGGTTTTTGCTGAGTTTCATATTTTTATTAGATTGAACATTATTTAAAAAACTGAATATTCTGCCTCTTTCAGGTCTCCACATTCTGGAAGTTTTGTTGTACATTCATAAAAATAAGGAAGATTTCAAACAGAACCAATCATTCCATGATTATAATACCAGTATCAAAGATGATTTTCACTTACCCAAGACACGTTTGCCATATAGGTTTTATATATTCGCAACCACTTTGAATAATAATATATACATATAAATAAATAAAATGAATCAATATTTTGATTATTTCCGATGAAAAAATGCAATTTTCATAAAAAACCGCCTGTTTATTTTCATAAGCCTGAATACAAGGATACAAATTCAAAATCCCTTCTATGCATTGGTCACAATTTCTCAATTAACAATGAAAACATGTAAAAAAATATGAGAATATACATGTAAAACACCGATGTAATAACGGATAACAGAAATTAGTTATTTTTGTATCTAGAGCGCGAAATGCTACTTTGGTGATCGAGATCTGAAAAAAATAGTCGAGATGAGGACCATAAAGTTGAAACATAAATATCTCATATATTTTTCATAACAATGCGCGAAGTAGGCACTTCGCGCACTGTTTTACTTCGCGCATTGTTTTGTGCAAGGTATCATGGTAACGTAGGAAACTGAAAAAAAGTGTCACTTCGCAATTTGTTATCAATGCGCAAACCTTGTCATTTTTTGACGTTTGTAGAAAAAAAATCTTCGCAATTTAGGGTAATATCACAAGTATGGGCAATTGACTGTACCTACATGAAGACAATACAGCTGAAAGACCCAAATCGATGGGCTTTTGGAATACATATTCCATTGAAGTATAAAATAAACTAACGAAAGGAAATATATTTCGTAAGAATAAGGAACTCAATCTAAAAATTGAAACTCTTTCGTGAATCAAATAAAATTTATATTAAAAATTTACTGCCTCCCTTTGCCCACAAGTTGAATGAGAAGAACAATGCCATTTCAGCTGATCGAAGAAATTTGAGACGAATCGAGAAGCAGCAATCACGATAAACTCTGTTGCTCTGTGAATGCACTAATTCGCACTGAGTCGATTTGTATATGTAAACAAATAATATCTACTCACCTAATATGTACGAAATCAAGGAAACTTGTTATCTCATTTCAAATGTTTCCATAGACAATATTTAGTAGACGACGCGGTATTGTCGGGTACAGATGTGTTTTGTTTTGACCAACAACCTCTGACATTTCTGTTCTTCGACTGACCAAGGTTGGTATTTTTTGAGACTATCATAACGGCCACACGTACCTACCATTCGTCGGTATTGAATTTCCTCACTTGATAACCATAATTTTTTCTCAACTATCTCCTAATTATTGAAAAAATGGAAGATGCGCTGCAGGTCATTGGCTAAATTCTAAGTTAGGTTTTTCACGGGTACCGAACAAAATAAAAATAAACCAAAACTATAGAAATTTACTTTCTCTTAGGAAGAAAATGGATCTGAATTTTTATTTACAAGAATTTAATACTCTGATGTGCGAAAGGTGAGAAATCTCGAATTTTCATTTCTCTAATTCCCCTGCTTGAAGAAATACTTATTTGAGACTCAATTTCATTGCGATCTTTCAATACTTTAAAGCTCGTGAAGAATCACTTAGATTGAGCGAAGGGAGGCTAACAAATTTGAAAATGGTTTCTATTTAACTACAAGGTGTTCTTGAAACAACATATTCAGCACATTAATATGATACAGTCTAAGGAATTATATCAGATTTGGAACAGAGGTGACGTCAGATTTGCTACAGTGTAGAACTTTGGGTGGAAAAACCTCAAATTTTATTTTGATCCCTAATTTTTTTAATAGTGCCATTCGATAGTACAAGTCAAGCTTTCTCAGTGTTTGAAATACTTGCACTTATTTCAATGCCACCCTGTATAAGTCAAATAAATTCCAGTTTTCAGGTTTAATATTCATTTCATATCAGAATTATTATATACAGAGTGGACCATTTGAAAGCGGCCACCTTCATAATTTTTTCAATTATGGAGCAATTTTCCCCCTACATTAAAAGAAATCGTGAAAATCGCTCCATTTATAAAAAAAATATGACGGTGGCCCGATTTCAAATGGGTCACTATGTAGTTTCTATCACTTCTTAAAATTAATGAACAAAAATCTGGACCACCCTGTATACTCATCCTGATAATTCTTTTTATTCTTCATTTACTTTTGAAATAGAAATGAATCTCTATTGATCACCCTTAAAATGAATTATTTTAACAGACCAGATTATTGGTTTGATGTCATGTTGGGTACTATAGATTGTCATTGATATTTACTGAGATTCGAATAATAAAACATATTTTTCTCGATAACATGACTAGATTAGTTGTAGTTAACGATATTAGTATTGTAAAAAACTTTCCAGAGATTATAAACCAATAATTATTATTGATAACGATAATGTATTTACAAGTATTTACACATTGTTCTCTATACAATTACCTATACTTTATCTAAATAAGATTATACTTATCAAGGAGACCATTTACATTTTATTAAAACAAAACAATACCCGCCATGAACTTTCTGATGATATAAAAAGAAAAATCAGATGACATTTTGAGATGAAACAAAAAACTCAATATTTTGGCACATGCCAAAACGTATTCTATATCTCGTTTTCAACATTTATATGAGACATTGATATTCGTCATATCATTTCGTAACAAAGTTTAATTATTATTTATATATTGAATATGTTGATAATTCTTTGATGCTATCGAAAACAAAATGAAAAATATAACATCAGGACCTCAATTTAATCAGATTTTATTTTGATTCCGGCTGAGAGACCTGATATATAAACGCTGGGTTTGATTTTTTCAGTATTAGAAATTAGAAAGAATGTTATTTGCTATGGTAGCATTTTAGTACATATAATGAACCCAAATATTCATGATTCTGAAACTAATTTCTTTCATTTAACAGGGAATGAATTCTTGGAAATGTACACACATTTTCTCAAGTTTACTTTCAGTTTCAGCCATGTCCCTTGATTTCATGATTCTTGATCTATAGGGACACTACTGACTGCCATTGCATATACGTAGGTATATTTGTGTACATTGTTGATAACTACAAGATGACGGAATAAACGATTTTTTCAATAAACAATTTGTGCAAAATATGCTTTGTACACCCAAATCAGGTTTTTGCTCTATCTAAAAAAATCTGGAATAATGATTGTACCATAGATTATTGTTCTTTCAAAATTATGATTCCGCCCGTGACGATGAATGTACACCGCTTTCTGAGAACATGTCACAATTATCGTGTTAGCGCGGTGCATGGGCATCATTTAGGGGGGGGGGGCAGGCAATCGCCCCTCCCCCAGATTTTCTACGAAAATTATAATCCATTTAGATTCTTCCTGTAACCACATCATATACATAATTAGTATTATATCATTACTCAAAATTGAAAAACATATATTATTTCAAAATTGTAGGTATAATAGTAGGTATCATACATAAAACATACCTGAATAAGGAAGCGAATTCTCCTAAAATGTGAAAATAACAATAAATTAATCGATAACTTATTTCCTGTTTTGAGTGATCAGTTTTTGATTCCGATACGATTAGAATATTGAAGTGAATATCGGGATATTTTACAAAATTGGAATGATTTACTGAATCAGTATCCCATGCTCCCAAAAAATTCAGGGAACCTCCATCTGCTCGTGTAACCTACAGAGATCGAGTATCCAAAATTCCTTTTTCTTGCTTCTCGCATTGTTTCTATTTGCAGATCATTTTAAATATCAATTGCAACAAACAGGGAACATGTTACTGAATAATTCATGATATAATAATATGATGAAGTCTGGTATGGTCTGGAAGAAAAAATGAAATTCTCAATTTCAAAGCATTCGACCATAAATCCCAACAAAATTATCGCCTGCGGCGCTTTTTCGCCGTATAAAATGTTTGTTAGAGTGTTTTGTCCCTCTTCCTGGTAAACTTTGGAATAGAGTTGCTGTCATTCTGAAAGAAATTTTATTTTCAATTTAAAGACATTTGACCCTAAACCCCAAAACAATTTCGCTTGTTTGTTGACCCCTTCTGATATTCAGATGTTTCCTGAAGACGAATGTACACTCGTCTTCAGAGATTATGTCGCACATGGACGGTGTCAGCCTCCTTGATCACCGCTGCAATAAGAGAGCTCATACCGTCCAACCGCGACATGTTCGTTGAAGACGAGTGTACATTACTTTGAACATTTTCTATTCACACTTATTCGCTAAAGAGAGGTTGACCGTGAATGTTATCATTTTGAGCAAAAATAAAAAATTGTCACACTAATTTCTGATTTACTGCAAAAACTATTGCATAACAATAAATTATGTATTACCTACTAATATATGATAATTGATTCGAAACGTTTTCGGGCATACTAGAAAATACAGGAAGGTGAATTCAAATGTGTTGGATTTTCGTTTTCGCACGTTCCTTGAATTTCCGATGTGACCGTGAAAAATATAAATTCATCTGAGCTTCCATAAGAAGCAGATCTTATGTAAATCAGAAAGTTCAAAAACAAACATTTTTCACTTGAAACAATAATATTGTGATTGATATTTTAAGCATCATGAAATTTGCAATTCAATAGTAACGAGAAAACGGTTGGATCGACTTTTGTGGTCACCGCTGGTTATAGCCATTAATTATATAGTAGATATACAGGTTGTACCAAGAAGAAGATGATATATATGATATATAACACATTCCGTTTTCGAGATATTCAGATCAAATCTGAAACGTAGGTTATGTTTTAGGGTTCACATCATACAGTATACCGAATTATCGTAAAAATCTACAAGGAGATAATTTTTCAGGTGTCGCATCAAAGTTGTTTCAACTTTCTTTATATCAAACCAAATTGCGTGCATGGTGGAATCAATTCTTTTGTGAATTTGATTGGGGTTATACGCCAGAACATAAAATCACTAGTATGTTATAGAAAAAAATAGCAATTAAGGCCATTTTCAAATAATGGTAATAATGACTTTCGTACGGAATGAAAAATAATTAGGTTCAACTAAATATATTGAGCGAGGATCCAATTTAATTTATATCTGGCCCCCCTTTCTATTACGTGGTCCAATATTATGTAGGGGGATTTAGCCGGTGGTGCTATACATATTTACACGTCATTTGAGTTTGTTATTTGTTGAAAACTTTACATGATTCTCATAGTTATTGTGTGTTATATACTTGGATACATTGTATCAATGTAGAGTGAGTATATGTATATGTACATATCATTTATAGATTTCTGACAGTTGTCTACAATGCTTCTTTTATTTATGAAAAGGATGCATCAATATGCATGGATAAGGTTGAATTCAACCAAATAAATTGACCTATCTCATTATTCAGGTTACTTTGGTACAAAACAGTTTGGTTTCAAATATGAAGTAGTAATATCAGATAATAAATAAAGTTTCAGCAAAACATTCTGTATATCAGAAATCGTCATTATCCTGTAGGTATAGTAAACCAAATATCTGAACAATGAGTTGTCAATTAGTACATCATGAACAAATCAAAAAGCACATCAATAAGGAAATCTAAAACTTTTTCGAAAAATATGAATACCTACTTTTAACAAAAACTGTCCAATTTCTTCCATACCTTACGCAAAATAATTTTATAAAGATAAAGTCTGAATTATCGCAAATAAAAACAATCTTCATGATTCCTGTATAAGCTCGAGAAATCTGAAAAGTGTTTTTCAAATATTTGATCATTTTTGTGTGAGCATATTCATTACAGAAACTGTTTTATTTTACAACTGGGCAAATTGTTGTTTTCAAATGTGTAATCCTATCTATATGGTCTGGTTCTAGTCTAGATTAGATTGCAGAGCAAAAATAAGGAAATTGAAAATTATACATCAGGGTGAAGTACCAAGTGAACCCAAAATCATCTCCACAGAAACCCAAAACAATTATCAGTTGATATTTCCCTCGTTCCAAGCTGATAACGAAATAATATGATGATATTCACTGAGATCTACACACAAGTCAAGAAAATCACTATTCTATCAACTATGTTAGTTCTAATTTCAGTTCACCCTGTAAATATGTCGTTATCTAACAGTTGGATAAACCAGTCTTTTTCAATTACATTGTAGGTATCTGATAATTCTGATATATCATCCCATCTTTCAGATAATCACATTAGGACAATAATTATTATGATATCATAATTTTATGTACACAAAAAGTGATTGAACGATAAACCAATTATTATTAATGGTACTCACATGCATAATAACTCGAATTAATCAAGTTCAAATGCACTCATGAAAATAGTGTCGATATCTGGTTCGAAGAAAAGTGAAAATACGCAATAATCAGAAATCCATCAGATGTTTTTTATTGAAATACGATCAAAGCATAACAATCATCCAAGTTTACTGAATGAAAATCATCAATTCAGGAAACCTATACGCCGGGCGATAAAGTAGTCCGCAGGCGGTAAAGTGCTTCTTTACGCCTGGTCGTGCATAAAATATATTTTTTCAAAGGGGGTGGTGATTGTTAAGGTGGACAGAATGGCATTTTAAGAGTTTTGTTCTTTTCAGTATTGATGATATGGATCCACATGTTGATGACGAAGCACCAAAAGATCCAGGAGCAGATCACAAAATCAAGTATCCATTCGACGAGAGAGATTTCGAAGGTGAATATCGGGAAATTCTTAGAATAGGATGTCTTTTCCAGGGAGAAAATAAGCAGGATGAATTTCTCATTCTGATTATTTTTTCTGAGGTTCACACCATGTAATTTAGACAGCCACATTTGGTACTAACCCATCGAATTATTATATAATAACTTATTTGCAAATCAATCTAGATATACATGAGTACTCAATTCAATAATCATAATCTAATCCAATATTTGTTACAATGATCAAATTGATCAGCGTACAAATTATACAATATTTAGGTACCTACTCAATTAATTATATGATTGAAGGTGAGAATTGAGTCTAAACTATGAAGCAAATAAATTCTTAGGTTATCGACTAAAGGCATAGGCATCATAGCCTTGATATGTGGATTTATATCTATATTTGTCTATGTATGATATAAGAATATTCTAGCAGACACAACATTGTCCAATTTTCATTAAAAATATCATTATTACCTTTATATTTGGCTCTATTGGATAAGAAGGAGCTATGAAATGTAGGTGTCTTTGGGTTAACCACAAAAACAGCGAAAATATTATCTCTCGTCAAATGTCCATCAGAAATAATATAAATATAAATATAAAACTAAACTGCGCTAAATGGTTATTATAGCAATTTATTTCGTCAGTATAATTAACATCCATATAACATTCACTCATGCAAATAATTTGTTAATGCAAATACGAGGGTTGAGCTAATATTATTGAGAATTGGGTATTCTGTGGTTCAGAGTAGACCATGAAAAACAAAACATCAAGTATCATTTGAAGTAAATCTTGATCTGCAGTGTCGCTGTTTCATTTGTCTCACAATAATTGTTGTTCGTTGTTCGCAATGCAGTAAAATCAAATCAGATTGATCAAGTTGAATGACAAATGAAAACAGAGAAAATGGCAAAAATGTAACAAGAATATATAAATATGGCAAAAAAGAGTGGAATTGTTAACAATGCCGATGTAATAGACGCGAATTGGACATCATTCTCGAATAATGCCAACGGTTTTATCATTTTGATCACTTATTCTTTTCTCTCGATCAACATCAACGATCAAAACCTCCAATCGAAACCAAATCAGAACAAATTAGGAAATCACTCAGATTAGGCTATGTTCAGAAATGATTCGTTCGTGTTGAGCAGTAAAGCAAGATTTCTGTTTCTTTGAGTTGAGCAAAAGATAAATGCTCCTACGGGATCATAAAAATCAAACGAACTGATGGCATCTAATACACTTCAAGACAGATGCTGATACACTCTTCCTTCTACCTATACTTGATACTAGTTTTGTTTCAATTTTATCGAATGATGTCCAAGCCATATTAGTAAAAAATATCCTTGCTAAAAAAAATCTATAGATATAGGTAGCACCCTAGTATTTCCATGCCGATTTTTTTGCTGGTGCTACATTATTAGCTAATTCATTACTGATATTCCGATTTCAGTAGTATCTGGATTCCGAAACTACTAGCCAGTATGGCAAAATACCCATTTTTTTAAATTGTAATGAACTTTCTCAGATTATTTTTCTCGAGTAAGATTTAGGTATTTATAGATGTATGGGATAATGAAATGAGTGAGCACAATATCAATGAATTTGATTGAACCATTGAAAAGACAAATGAAATGCTTCCGTGAAAATAATCTCATATGTCAAAATAGTAGGTATATTTGAATTCATTATCCTTTAGTTTGGATTACTGATGTAGGTATGCCAGTTTTATAACGAGAACCTCTGTATATTAAAAGTACGGATTATTCGAATTTCAAATCATTGAAAAACAATATGTTCAGGTCAGTGAATTATTGTGTGAAGCAAGGTATCAAGAACTATGTCAAAGTCATAACTCAGTGTTGTTTCAAACAACAAACAACATCACCGTATCTTGAGCACGTAATTTATAATAGGTGTGAATTCCTGAAATTTGTATTCATGGTGAATGTTCAACTGGAGCTCTCCATGAAGAATTATATGTAGATTACGAAAAATAACAACAATAATCCAAGATTGTTTTATCGTTTATAACCAAGTGAGGCAAAACCAAAGTGTGCCCAAGAAGATGATGAACAGCTTGGGGATCTTGATAACTGTACACTGTTACACAAAAGGTCAAATGGGCAAAAAGTTTGAATAGATGTTGAAAAATCCCAAAAATGTTTTCAACTCCCGGATATTTTCGAGAAAAGAAAAATTCGTCGATTTGGTTTTGATTTTTTTCTGAAGTTTCGGAATACCCAAAGGCACTTTCTTATTGCCACTTTTTTCCTGTGCAAAATGGCGTTCACAGAGACAATATTCCGAATTAAACTGATCAGTACTGATGTCAGTAGATCCACAGACTCTGCTGAAAATATGTATTCCGAAATATAAAATCAAAAATACAGTGCTGTAATTCTGAACACGTTATCATGGTTTTCATCAGTAGTCAGCAGCAGTTGATCAGCTGGTGAAATTTGTCAGTCTGTAGTTTCTTGTTAATCTGAACTAGATATTTAGCCTCCTGCTTGATATAAATTTTGGAAATTCAATATTTAACATGGGAGAGCAATCGATTCTTGTAGCCTCCATAGTTTCTACCATTGTTGACTATGACGATTCAAGTTCGTGTGATGAAGAATACTTTTGTTACCATCAATTTTTCATGATGCACCAGATCAAGAATTGAAAGATTCAGGTTTATTTAGTTATAAAATTTATTCAGCCAATACTGCTTCTTATTCTTTCGTTACCTCTACTACTTCATACTCTTTAATAACAAGTATTTTCTGATATTGAAAATGATATTATCAATTAATCAATGAAAAGAAAAGACTTACTACTAGTATAATTTCACCCCTAATCGCCATTCTGTATTTTTATCCTAGTAGTAGTAGTAGTAGTAGTAGTTTATTGAAAAATAGGAAAGCCTAATATACAAACATCTCGAGCATTCATAAAACATTTAACATCACACATATATATGTATAAAATTCACAATAGCAATTCATAGTTATAGTTATACAAGACACATATTTAAAAACCATTAACAATAATACTAAAAACAAAAAAGAAAATTCAACATAAAGTCAACAGATAACTAAACAATCAAGCTAATAATACAGAAAACTTAATACAGATTGAGGACAATATCAAGTAAAGAAACAATTATTGAATATAGGATAATATGTTATAAACATTTTCATACAATACCCACCCGTCCAACATTCATAGAGTTTTAACATACTTCGATAATGATGATTTGAAAGAAGATAAAGATACTGATGATTTTATATGCATAGGTAGTTTGTTGAATCCTAGGTATAGTCTACGATGTCTCTATATTAATGATAGACTTGTTCAGCGAGGCTTTCTCAAAACTTAGATTGTCTCTACCATCTAAGAAGCGCCAACAAAAACAAATGCGGAAGAAAACTCCTCCATATCTCAAACTCAATCATGATAAGCCTACTGTGATACGTTTTCCAGCCACTTGCCTCATAGAATATTACTCCATCAATATCTAATATCTCCATAAAATCCCGAGGCGATTCGTGTTCAATCTCTGGCAAAAGCTCTATTTCCCAATTAACTTAGAGCCGCTGTGCTTAGAGCGCATTTGAGAAATGACCTTTTCGGTTAATTGCCACAATGTTCCATTAGGTTGGATAAACGAAGTACTAGATCACATTATTCGCCTCAGATATTGGAGGTGTGTCTCACGCGACCAAACCTGCAGGAAGTTTATGCACTTTTCTATTGGCACCTCCATTGCATAGAAAAACGAGTTATTCTGACGCTTTATTTTTGTTCAGTATAATGATTGAAATTTTCATCTTATACAGCGTGACCATCAACATTCTTTTGGACAGTGCAGTGAGTTTTTATTGAAATAAAAACGGGTAGATTTTTTATGAAATCATATTAGCAATTTTTTTGGAGAAAAACTAACATCATATTATTGTTCCGCATGCTTTAGAACCTGTATATGCAAAAAATCACCTCATTTCGAAATTACCAGGATTGGTTATTCCAGATTTTTTGGGATTTTCTCTCCTCGTTTCTATGAAATAAAAATATGAATATTATTTCAATATACGAGTAGTAAGGACAAATCAGATGATTTGCCTCAAAATGTCACTGCGTTTAAAGAATTCTCCAATCAGAGAGCCTAAAAGAAAAATTCATTAGCTTGTCAGTGACAGTTTGTATTGAAAAAGGTTTGGAGAAGAAAAATGAAGGTATATAGACAAAATATCAAATTCTCACTTAGCTTTGGACGTTTGGAAGACGAATCAGCAGTCACATTTTGGGGCAAATCATCTGACTTGTCTTTACCACACGTATATTGTTATGAAAAAAATTGCCCTCAAAAATTTGCATGTAAATATAATATATAATTTCTGCAACTATTTTTCCGAAAATATCTTTTGTAGTCTTTTGCCGAAAAGTTTATTTCAGTCTGTTAAAGCTACCGGAAATGTAGCAGTTGCAGATCTAGAAGCAAATCCTGATCAAACTCTATATACTCTGAACCATGAGAGCTTTGCCATCAAATGTATCAATATCTTCAGTCAGCTCTTCTAAACCAATCTGTCTCTATCCCAGTTCAAGCTTAGGGATATATTTACGGTCTTCCGACTTTTCTGAATGTACACCATTGTTTTTCAATCCTCAAGTCCCTTAGCTCAAAATTCAATTCAATTCAATTTTCTTTATTTCCAATCAGACTTATACATACATAAGTATACATAAGTATACAGGTAAATTTTAAATAATCTGTTCAAAAACGAACATTACAGTATACAAATACATACATAATATCTAATAATGTATAAAAAACAGTGTATATAGAAACAAACATAAAACAGTGAATAAAGAAGTATATAAAAGACAGTATATATAGAAGTGTACACGTAAAGGTTATACCAGATTACAACACATTATATTTTCGAACTTCATATTTGAATTTGTTCACATTTGATAATATTTCAAGCCTAGTGGGCAAGTGGTTGT